TGTGAGATCATATATTAATAATAGTATAGTAAGAGCAAGTACAATAGCAGGCTATAAAGCAGCTATAAATATATTTTAAAGAGATAAAGGAAGAGAGAGAAGAGTAACGGGCTACAGATCTGTAGTCAGCTGCAGCACAGATTCCAAGACGTATTGTATGTATGACAGGTAGGACTAGATATTAATAGTATAATAAACAACTATTGTATGAATTGGCTATTGATTGCTTATAGATGAATTGAAGTTAGTAGTGGGCTATACTATTAAACTTGCTTTTATAGCTCAATTTTGAGTAACCAAGAGGTGGCAAAGCATGAGCATTCCAGGAGTGCCACGTTGCAGTTGGCTATAGGGCCATGCCTACGTATGGCATTTCAACGGGAGGGAGCACGGCTTGTCACCACGTTGCAGTCGCTTCGTTTTGCTTGCATGGGAGGGAGGGTTCCCAATCCATGCTAAGAAACGTAGACTAATTTATTATTATAAATATTGTTAAATTTTTCTGTAAACTTAATTAAACTTAAAAAAATCTAAACGTCTTAAAACAATGAACCATGGGTGCATGCATTGATGGCTTTGCACTCGAGAACGCGTGCATCCGGCGCCGGTCGATGTCGATCTGCAAAGCTTGCAATATCGACAAGAATAGGCAGCTATAGCTACGTGTCTACTCCAACTGGCTAATAAGGATAACAAATAATTAATGCTGGATGACAGTGGGCTCAGACACTTCTTTTTATTTTCTTTAATGACTGGATTGGTACGTTGTGATGAGGAACTGTCGATCTTCAAATAGTTGATGTTATCGATAACTATCGATTTGGTGGAAACTTGGCACACGATCTGACTTTCGATCAACACAATCAAAACCCTATAATCGCACCACGTCTTCTCTGGTTATCAACCGTGCCAAAACCTGATTAATCTCGCCGAGAAGACTAATCCCTCCATGCGATTCAAAGAACACAAGTAAGAACAAGATAGATTGCAACTCAATTGCAAATGAATAACTAAGCACTTAAAATTGGGGTTCTACAAACCGAACAAGCGACAAACTACAATGGCAAAGATAATCTAAGAAAAACCAGACTCTAAACGATGACGGTTACTGAATAAATATGATTAGAAATGTCCTAGTGTTAGCCTTAGGGTGTCCACCTCTTGGACTTAACCCACGACACAATTAAAAGGCCCAAGGTCTAAATCAGACTCGGACTAGATGAGGTATGTGGCTTGTTTTGCATACTCTCAATAGTTCGGTACGAATTTTTACATGGGACCAAAACTATCTGAAAGTAGACTCCATAAAGCTTTCCAACAGGTACTTATGGGTCTCAAAATTCCTTCTAGATCAGTGGCTAGATCCGTTTAAAGTTGATGTTGTTAGGAGGCCAGAATCCGAATTAATCCAAAACATGCAGAACTTTATCTCTTACTTTCTATGAACCAAAAGTGATGATAATGTTGGACTAGACTTGGGAATGGTCTTGTATTAGCCTCCAATCAACTTCATTGATCATTCAAACATTTCATGAGTCCGCTCTTCTTTCTTTCACCCATACAAGTATTTCTGCAAACGAGAAGATGCAAAACTCATAGTGCAATAGTGTTTGTTCAAATACATAACATGTAGATCTCACATAGAAAGTATACACCTTTAGTTGATGGATACATAAGGTAGCCGTGATCATATCCAAGCTAGTGATGTCCTCATCACGTTGATGCCACATGTATGCAAGCTCTTCATTAAAACCGCCCAAAACAGTGCTAGGGGTAATTCACCTGGTATGAATAATTGAGAGTGTAAAATATATGCTATTTGAGTTCAAGGGATAATTTGGTCTACCGCGATAGTTGGCAATTTGGACTTTTTTCCCTATATTTAGCATCTAAGCATACGAAATGTAAGGAAACAAGACAGATTTACTCATACATGGTGAGAAAAGAAAAGAGAACTCAAGACAATCAAGAGGTAGCACACATTGAAAACAACTGTAATCTATCCCATGTGATTTAATGAAGTCCTTTTTCCCCGAAAAAAAAAGTACCACATATGGAATGGAAGACGGACACATACACTACTGCGGTGGTGTTCTTTTCTCCTGAAGATGAAGATGAAGATTAAGTTTTTTACACAAAACGAGGCAGTATTAGCGTATGATTGATTAAGTTTTAATTATTACAAACTTAAAAATAGATTAATATAATATTATAGAGCAACTTTCATATAGAAAGTTTTTGCACGAAACGCACCGTTTAGCAGTTTAAAAAGCGTGTCACGAAAAACTTAATATTAATCACCCCCCTTGTTGGACTAACGAACGCGGCCGTACGAATAATAGAATGGTTTGCGCACCGTCGGCCAAAGCAAGGCTGTTGTCCAGCGCGCAGTTTTTTTAAAAATTACTCGGTGCAGTACAGACACTCACAACACACTCACACTCACCTCTATGGACGCATGCACGCAAACCCTATCCATATGAGCATATTCGAAGACTAGGCCGGTAAATCCTGGAGATTGACGAAGTCACCACATGCGCCTCGTCGTTGACGGGTACGTCGCCTACCACTGAAAGCACAAAGCCGTTAAATCTTGGAAAATTCACACCCGTGGGGAGTTGAACCCGGGACCTAATGTGTTACTGAGGCTCTTGTAACCACTAGGCTACAGGCCCTTTCGCTTCCAGTGCGCAGTTGAGGACGCTGCACGCTCATCATGGTTTACACAAAGATCAAGAGGTGATTAATTTGGGTCAGGATCGAAATAGATGGGCCTCACATGGTGGCTGTTGCGTTTTGTTCTTCTAACGACTAAGAAGCGATCTAATCCACCGATCCTATGGTTGAGAACTAACGATGACATGGAACATCGAGGTTTAAGTTTTAGGGTCTTAATTGTAGCTAGCCTGTTGTCCCTTCTCTTTATTATAATTGGGATTTTAAACATCAAAGTTTTGCTTTTCTTTTTTACTTTTTAAAAGTCTCGCTAACCGCCATTGCTTTACTTGCTTTGTCATCTCAATAACGTAATTGAATTTATTTTATTTTTTATTCTAAATTTTAATTAATCTCGTACTATGTTGGTTTTTTATTTTAGCATTGCTTATATTTTTAAAAAAAAAATTAAGTTATCTATATATTATATTCTTACTTAAACTTTAAAAAATCAGAATTTATTTTTATTCCAAATTTTAATTAAACTCGTGTTGTGTTGTAATAGACTGTTTTTTCAATATTTTTTTTATTCCAAATTTCAGTTATTTCTAAACTATATTTCTGCTTCAAGTTTTTTTAAATATATTTTGATTTTTTTTCTAAATTTTAACTAATCTCATATTGTGTTCTAGATAGATGGCTCTTTTACTATTTTTATTTTTCTGAACTGTAGTTATTTTTAAATTGTAATCTTACTTGAACTCTAAATTTTCTTTTTCTCTGGTTCACATTGGAATTTCCAGCTTCCGCAATTTCTAGCTCTCCAAGTGATTAATATTTCTCACCCCACTAAATTTTCTTGTCGAATCATGCATGGATTCTCACCCCCATAAGACTAGTCAACACGATCAACTAAGGCCTTGTTTAGTTGGCAAAAAAAATTTGTCCCTGCATGCTACATCGGATATACGGATACACATTTGAAGTTTAATAACAAAAAAATTACAGATTCCGTCAAAAAAACTGCAAGACAAAATTATTAAGCCTAATTAATCCGTCATTAGCAAATATTTACTTTAGCACCACATTGTCAAATCATAGCACAATTAGGCTTAAAAGATTCGTCTCGCAATTTCCTAGCGAACTGTGTAATTGGTTTTGTTTTTTTTCTACACTAGAAAAATGCCCGTGCGTTGCAACGGGTAAAAACTATTTTAATCTTATTATTATTATTATTATTATTATTATTATTATTATTATTATTATTATTATTATTATTATTATTATTATTATTATTATTATTATTATTATTATTATTATTATTATTATTATATGGTTGAGTTAGGATGAATTCATTGTGTGAATTCGCTTGGATTTTAATTTTTAGAAAATTAAGAGCTGCAATTATGAGTTTGACTTTTATCTCAAGTTAGCATCCAAGTTTTTTTAAAGAAATTCCTTATACGATTAGTTTTGTATTTCCAAAAGCAATTAACTTAAAACCCGACACAAACAAGAATAATGTATGAAATTACTGGTAAAAACATCTTTAATTTTTATAATAGTAAAGATAGAGATATGGCACGCTATTGTTTCCCGTTAATAATTTTTAGTTTTTATTTCTTTCGTGTAATAGGAGGTGAACAGATAAATTTGCAGTTTTTATTTCTTTTCGCAACAATAGGAGGTGAACAGAGATATATTTGCTCGTTAGGATCTATTAATTATACTTGATTGGGCAAAAAAGCAACAACGATGCAGCCATGCACATGCAGGCCATCTCCATCGGTATTTCCTTCCAATCTAACCAGGCGCACATCTCTCCAATCTGTACGGAGTACAGAGCCAAGTCCATCTCGCTTGATCGTGGCAATAGTAAAACCGAATCGGACGGGGTGGTTCGGATGAAGCAAAAGGGAAACGCATGTGAACGCTTAAAAAAATGGCAACGGGAGCATTTGGATTCGATGGCGATGTACATGGGAATCGGATGTGGACGCGGCACTGCTTCCCACGGATCATGTCAGTAGTTTTTGAATCAGAGATAGCGGATGACAATTAGACTCGGATACAGACAACTTACCAAACCACCGGTAAAAACATCTTAAACTTTTATAATAATAGAGATTTAATACTCTATGTATATATCAAACATTCGATGTGACAGCGTTTGGGAACTAAACAGGCCCTAAAATATGCAACCCATGTCAATTAGTCCCAGGCCAGGTTGCACATCAACCTTGGTAACACTCAATATAGATGATGGTTATCACAGCCCGTTATCTTCTTCCAGGACCAGCTAGCTACTCCCTCCGTCCCGATCGGAAAGACTTTATTCAGGTATATAGCAAAAAAAAAAGGTTAATAATAGTCTTTCTAGGACAAATGGAATACTTACAAAATGGAGTAGATAACACAACTATACTGTTTTGCATGCGTGTAGCGTACTAGTACTGATCATCATCATCGAGTAGCAGCCCAGCAAGCATGCACACCATCTTCATCATCATCGAGAAACTAAAACCAAGTGAGTGATAGATGGATACTGCAATGAAGAAGCGAAAGGCCCCGTTTTAGATGGGCCAGGCAGGTCCAGGCCGTTTACAATTTGGGACATCCTGAAACACTCCAGCCAGGGCCCATATATACAGTAATAATTTTGCATTTCTAACATCCCAACAAACAAGACACAAAGTCGTCATATCCCGATCTGAGCAACACCAGTGCAAACAAACATCGATCCTCAGCAAAACTTAACCTTTTATTTTGCTTCAAATTAATCGCAGGACACCTCTACCCCCAACTCTGCAGTCCAAAATTACAATGGAGAATTACAGCATGAAGAAAACTAATAACAGGAGGAGCACCGCATACATACACATGTGCCCTAATCAAGGTAGCAGTGGTTAAGACGCCTGCCTGCCGTTTTGCTTCAATCAACGGAATGTCTCATCATCAGTACTACAACACATGAAAGCTCATTGGGAATAAGGCGCCAGCAAAGGGATAAGAGCTCACAATTTACAGATGCTTCGTCCTTTCTTTCTCCTCTAGGGCCTTTGTCTTGCGGTAATCTTTATCAGTCCCAAACAGCCTTTAGCAAGACAGTCAAAGAGCAGCTCATGTAAGGGACAATACAATGCTCCATGCAATTCAGTAAAAAAAAAAAGAAAAGAAAAAGGACAATTAGGTCTGTCCTCGATAAATTCTCACCAGTCCATGTAGATGAAGGTCGACGAGTAATTCCCAGACTTGGTGTAGAGAACACGGTGATGATAGTCATGGAATTCAGCGCTGAAATGTTCAAGGCCACGCCTTCAGTCACATGCACAAGTACTGAATGAACAATGTTCAGGGACACAAGTATGTACTACAGCTTAGCTTACTTACCCGCCATACAATGGCAAGAAATTGGACGGGCTCCATGGGAAGTGGTAGCCACTGTGAGCCTCAACTGTCTCCAAGACCCTCAAGACCATCCACACCCAGAGAGTGAAGAGGTGAGGGCCAGTAAGGGCAGGGCCGGCCACGGTAGCAAAGCCCAAGAATAGAATCTCAGCAGGGTGAGCATATTCAGATGTTAGGCCAAAGGGTGTGGCATATCTGCTCAGAAATGCATGTGTGACGATGTGTTAGAGATGTGCATATAACGGCTGCACGTAAAAAGAATGTCAAGAGAAACGGTACTGACTCATGGTGGACGCTGTGAACATGCTGGTACAGCCATTTGGTATGCAGTGCCCTATGCCCCCAGTAGAATATGAAATCCTCAAGCACAAAAAAGAAGAGCACTTGGGAGACGACAACTGTCCTGCAATGCAGTATAGGAAGAAGAGGTTAACATTCATTACCTGCTTGCATATGTTGCCTCTGGCTACTGAGGGAGTAGCATTTATATTTCCATGGAGAAAATGGGATACCAGTGAGGCAGCGGAAGGGTGCTCCTCAAGCCCATGAATTTGAAGGTGCGATATGATAAAATGGTGAGAGGGAGATTGACGCAGACATGGTAGAGAACGAGACGCACTACACATCTGTTCTGGTAATCGGGTGTATTGCTCTTCTTCTGCAAAATACAAGAAGAAGAAATGAGACTTGAGCCAGGTCGTAGGAAAAATACAGCCAGCACAGAGCAGGCAGAAAAACAGGTGGGTGTTATTTTTCATTTCAACCCTTGCCAACAAAATGGCAAGAATGGGAACATTTTTTTTCATCCCTCCAATCCGGCTTATTTGTTTTCAGATTATTTGCTGCACGCTTTGAAAAATATACATTTTGTCCGGGAAAAGAACTTGTTTGTTGAGTTAATTTATGATGAGAATATGTAATTTATCCCTATAATATAATAAATGTGCCGCTGAATAATGTGTTTGAGACTGATAACATGAGCAACAGTTAAGCAGGTAGTAGTAAATAGAGGATTTGTGCAGGCAGAGGTGTAGGGTAAGGGGGGAAGGGCCCAGGGCCAGGGGTGGTGGTGAGTTGATCGAGTGCAGGGTGGGGAACGGATCGATCGGCGGCCTATCACCAAATGGATGGATGGACAAGCTAAGGGATCGGAGTGGGTTGGTACCTGGATCTTGTACTTGGAGAAGAGGCCGAGGCGCTCGAAGAGGAGAGAGGGGAGGCCGGAGAGGAAGAAGACGCTCTCGTGGAGGAGGAAGGTGCCGATGGAGGCCAGCTGGAACTCGCTGAAATGCGTGATGAGGTACTCCCACGCCGACTCCAGCCCCGCCGCCGCCATCATCCTACCTTGACTCCGGCGAGCGATTGCCGCCGGCGAGGAAGAGGGATCAGGGGATCTCCTTTCTCTCTGCACTCTGCCCTTCCTTCCTTTTTATTGAAGAAGAGGAGGATTCCCTTCCCTTCTTCTTCTCTTGTATTGTATGGACGGCCCGATCTCATCTCATCTCTCATTTTATTATTTTCTATATTCTTATACTCTATAGAGAGGTGAGAGAGAAGGAAAAAGGAAAAAAGAAAGTGGGGCCCAGATGGCAGGTTTCGTCTCGTGGGCCGGCCTTGTCGTGTTGTTGGCCCGTGCTCATAGCCATATTGCAACTTGCCACCATCCATCCATTACCTATCTACTGTAGTGGAGTATCGCTATACTAGGAGTATATATATAGCAAAATTACAAGCTTAGCTACCGGATTAGTGTTCCTTCCTGTGGGCGATTCTAATCTAATTACCACGCATATATACATATCATATCTACCTGCACATCTTCGATCCATCCATCTGCAGGATCATATCATATCTCTCATGCGCGCATGTCGATCGACTAGCTACTAGTATTACGTTATTTTTCATTTTTTTAATTAATTATTCAGATCAAGCTAGCTATTAGCTACTAGAGCATGCAAGCACGTACAGTTATTACAGACTGACCGAGTCACAGCCAACCAAAACACCAAACACATGCATATATAACTGGCCTACACAAGTAATTAACTAATGTGGTATATATGGATGTTGCAGGCTACCTTAGCTTGAAACCGGCCGGAAATCATCTCGTTCATTCTCATCCCATTACCTGCTTCATATATCCGCCCACAGTAACTACTGTTAATTGTTGAACCAACCCACAGCAGTACAGATTAATTGACACCACATGGATATATATGCAGCAATTCACCAGGTACTCTCTTCTCTTCGTTTCATATTATAATTTTTTAAGTCAAACTTTATTAAATTTAACTAAATTTATGAAAAAAATTAATAACATATAAAATATGAAATTAGTATCATTAATATAACATTTTATATATTTTCATAATATATATTTGTTTTGGGTTGAAAATACTATTATATTTTTTTTACAAATTTAGTCAAACTTCTAGAAAAAAAAATAATTGCTCCGTCGGAGTACTACTAATTTTTAATGATGCATCCATGCCATGTGCAACTCGATCAATCGCCCTCCATACGCATTGGCCTCAAATTAATTATTTATTAATCCAGATTCCCACCATCTACTCTCTATGCTTGTATTTTATTATAACACGAATTGTAACAAGTACTTCCCTCATCCTATTCTAAGTGTAGCCATAAGTTTTCGTGTTCAGCTTTAATCATTTATATTATTTATTTATTAAAAAAAATAAAAAATATAAGTCACGTATAAAGTACTATTCATTATATCATCTAATAACAATAAAAATACTAATCATAAAATAATTTTAAATAAGACGGACGTTCAAAGTTAGACACAGAAACTTATGACTGTAGTTAAAATAGGACAGAGGGAATACTTTGCTTATGTACTCTGTTCTTAGCTTTTAATATATTTTTATTTAAATCTTATTAAAGAAAAGAAAAAGGGCATGGTCCTCCTTGCTCATCTCCCACAGATATCTAAGGCCACTATCGAATCACATAGTCTCGGAAATCATCTCGTAGATCAGCCCATAATGATCTTTTGCTTGATAGCTCTGCATACTTAACTAGTGTCGACATCCTACCTTGATGGAGAGACCCGATACGATTGCCCGTTGATCGGAGGCAGGGTGGTATGGCACACCAACAATATAATTGCCGCTGTGGCCAGATGAAGAAGGACGTGGCTCAAATCATATAGTATATATTTTGTGGTCATGCAAGATCATAGCTCCAAGATCATATAAGTTGTTCGACGTTACATAATAACCACTAAAATATTTCAAATTATTTTTCTACATTTTATTTGTATTTTTTTATTTATAAGAGCGATAGCATCTATCATTGACAAAGGACAAATCATGGAGAAATGGTTAAAAAGGTGCTTACAAATTACGAAAACGACTAGTGTTAGAGAAGTATTAATTGGCAAGAGTAAAACATGTTACATTTGGAATATTAGCCTTAGCAACCTAAAAATATTGCAAATTCAATAGTTTTATAGAGAGTAAAGAGAGCGAGCGAGAGAGAAGGTGCGTAAGAGTAGAAATTTTACCGACTAAGTGACTCTCACCTCCTCTCACGCGTAGGGAGGGGCCGCCATTGTTATAGACCCACACTAAATCTCCCAGCAGATAGCACCTCTCTTTAGCAACCTATCGTCATAGAGAGACCCAATGAACCCTTGGTCGAATGTAAGGTGATATAGCTAACGATACCTGTAACAATTTATCGTGATGCTAAGATGGATATGTCGTGGCTGTGAAAATTGAGCAATATGATAATGACAAATGGAAATGGTACCTTTGAACATGTCTGATTATGGTACATAACAACCACTAAAACATTATGAATATTTTGTACATACATTTTATTTAAAATAGTTTTATAGTCTCATGAGTAAGAAAGAAAGAAAGGAAGGAAGGAAAGAAGGAATTAAGAGAAAGGGCGTATTGTATTGTAGGCAGGCAGCAGCTGAGGCTGAGCGACCGTCCCCCGACGCCGACGCCGACCCCCGTCTCGTGAGGGAGGGAGGGTCATCGCCATCGAATCCCAAAAAATCACCCGCCGCCGCATCCTCGAATCCAATCATTCAATCAAGGAGGAGGAGGAGGATTTGGATTTGGATTTGGATTTGGAATTAGGGTTAGTGATTCCCCATTTTTTTGAGGGCAATCGATCGAGCTTAGCTAGGGTTGGATGCGATGACGGCGGCGGCGTCGTGGTCCCGGTCGGTGACGGAGACGGTGCGGGGGTCTCACCAGTACACGGTGAAGGGGTTCTCGATGGCGAAGGGCGTAGGGGCCGGGCGGTACGTGAGCAGCGACACCTTCGCGGTGGGCGGCTACCACTGGGCCGTCTACCTCTACCCCGACGGCAAGAACCCCGAGGACAACGCCAACTACGTCTCCGTCTTCGTCGCCCTCGCCTCCGACGGCGCCGACGTCCGCGCCCTCTTCGAGCTCACCCTCCTCGACCAGTCCGGCCGCGGCCGCCACAAGGTCCACTCCCACTTCGACCGATCCCTCCAGGCCGGACCCTACACCCTCAAGTACCGAGGCTCCATGTGGTATTATCCCTTGCTTTCCCAATTCCCATTCATTCATGTTTCTTCTATGTAGCAATTCAATTCAATTCATCTCTTATACATACATACTAGGGGCTACAAGCGCTTCTACCGAAGATCACTCTTAGAATCATCCGACTTTCTCAAGGACGACTGCCTCGTTATGAACTGCACTGTAGGCGTCGTCAAGAACCGTCTCGAAACACCAAAGAACATCCACATCAATATTCCTCCATCCGACATGGGCCGTTGCTTCAACAACCTCCTCAATCTCCGCATCGGCTGTGACGTATCTTTTGAGGTGGGTGATGAAAGAGTCCAGGCGCACAAGTGGATTCTTGCTGCCCGCTCCCCTGTATTCAAAGCCCAATTCTTTGGTCCTATTGGGAATCCTGACCTACACACAGTCATTGTCGAGGATGTAGAACCTCTTGTCTTCAAGGTAATTGCTACATGCTGAATCAACAACTTTCCTATCCTGTGCACTCCTAAATCCCTTCCTTGTTGAGCATCTTACTAATCTTTACTTCTATCTACTGTTTCATTCACAAAACATGTTCTCGATCATGTCTACTTCCTAGGCCACATGCCATTGTATGCTTTGTCATTCGATCGAAAATATCCCCTCACAGTAAATATGCAATTTCCCCCCGCAATGCAGGCAATGGTGAATTTCATATACTCTGATGAACTTCCTAGTATTCATGAACTAGCTGGATCTGTCTCAACTTGGACATCGACAGTAGTAGTACAGCATTTGTTGGCGGCTGCTGACAGATATGGACTAGATCGGCTACGTCTGCTATGCGAGGAAAAGTTATGTGATGAACTCACTGCTGAAACAGTTGCAACAACTTTAGCCCTAGCTGAACAACATCATTGTACTCAGCTGAAATCTGCTTGTCTGAAGTTCACTGCTGTTCGGGAAAATCTGGGAGGTATGTACTATGCTCTCTGGATTAATTTTTTTAGGCCTTTGTTGAAAGAACATAATGCTGTGTGTACCCTGTTTTCCTATTTTTGCAACAGAACAACCTTATGGCTGACAAAATAAAAAATAATTGTTGTGGTATTTCCTAATTCTCTGCTGTGCTATTGTATTTAGTGGTCTCCCTACCAACCAAAGGTTCATCAGTAATATTTCATCTCCTGGTTTAGATCCAGAGTGCAACAGTGCTGAAACAATCAAAACAGCCAATTAGGTTGTGCCTTATGCAAATGTAGGCAACAAGACAGTGCCATGTATTTTGGAAGGATAATTGCCCTATAATGATAAGCTTGTAGCAAATAACGATTTGATATCAATAATAGGATGTGTGGTGCAGTATTACTTGCCTTTTTATTTCATTTTTTTTAATGTTGATAGGGTTGATGGGACTTCCCTTTTCGGGTGTTTATTTTCTGTTTCCTTTCTAAGTGTCATGGGCATGGGCCAGGCCCATGCAGCAGTTTAGGCATGATAAATTAGGAACAAGTCAAATGAAGATAGGGGATTATCTAGTTAGCAAAGAGATGACTAGATGAGGTTCATTAGAAAGTTAAAGATAGGGATTGTATTGGTTTCTATAATACTAGAGATTAGTTCCTTGGATGTCAAGTATGCCCTCCCCGAATATAAAGGGACCCCGTGTACTCTATTATCAAGCAATCGATGAATCTCAGGGAGAAGCACTGCCGCCACTATTAGAGGGCGAGTGCCCTATCCCTCGGTCTTTGGACACGTACCTTAGCCAATCCATAACATTTAGTCACATCATCTGAATCGAAGCACCTAAGTAATCATTATACAAAGCTATTGACAACTTCTACAGACCACTTGTTGTAATTGGTTTCTTTTTCAAATTCTAATCCCTTTGAATACGAGCTCACTAGAAGTGACACAAGTTACCATATAAACTTAAGGAGAAGAATGTCACAACCTTAAGTAGTTGAATTCTGTAGCCGTATTGGATTTGCAAATGGCCGGCCATTTTTATGGACTATATATGAACCAGAGGAGATGTGACATGCAGTAGAAAATCAATAGCACATGCAGTTTGTTTGATCGGTACCCCTCCAATTCGTGCTAACGGTTTCAGTGCACTTTTGCAAACTCTTTTAATAGAAAGTTCGAAGTGGCTTTGTACATTATTCTTTCCTTTTTGATTTACATACTGGAGACCTTTCCTACCATTTCCTGTTAAAAACTGCCATTTACATGCCTCCTCCGTGGACCGATGTTTACGCGGTTGTATTTTTCATCAGCACTACTTCCATGATGAGTTGTAATGTTGTGTCTTATGCCTGCATTTATTATTTGCTCTGTTAAGCTATATATGTGGTGTTGTCCAAAAATGTATATGTACATATTTGTGTTTATCTGTTGGCATTTTCATGTTGTGATTTTGCAGCTGTGATGGAGACAGAAGGATTTAATTACTTGGAGGAGACATGCCCGTCCCTGCTATCTGACTTGTTAGCTACTGTCGCAGTAGTGGATGATGATGCTGCGTCATTCAACCGGAAGAGGGGAGTCGGTGGTAACGAAGGAGCGAATCCTGTGGAGAGCGTGGAGGCTAGTGATAGGCGCATCCGCAGGAGGGTTTAGCCGGGTTAGAACTAATGTAGGCTTTCTTCTTGGTTCCTCCTCTCTATGCTTGCCATCAACTGTACACTATGATCGTAGTTTGTGTGATGTGCTGTCATGTTATTAGTGGTGAAAGTTTAATTTGGACACCGTTAACCAACCTCTTGCCGTGTGAATAATTTCCTATTTTGACTACGCCGTTTCGCAGCAGAGATTTTAACCTTGCCAGTGGATTGGATGTTATGATTGGTATCTGCTGATTATATGTGGTGTTAGCATTTCAATGGATGCCAATTTGCAATGCTTGTTGATAGCCTATATCTGTATTTTGTTACAAGTTTATAACATACATTCATGTCCTGTGGTTACATACATTCTAGCAAGAAAGCAGGCGACAGCAGTATGCATGCAGTAGATTATTCTATCAAACCGGAGCCTAACATACTATTATTGAACAAGCCCACAATGATCAACATGCAGACCCATGGTAGATGTATGATGGTAGAGCTCAGCTCCATCTCTGCTTCTGCAACAGGTGCATCAGTGGGTATAGAATCTGCATCTGGTCGAAGCCTTGTGAAGCCTGTAAGATGCATCACATCGATTCTGATCAGTCTCTTTTGGATTTCCGTAGTTGTAGTGATTACTACTACTCCCTCCGTTTCACAATGTAAGTCATTCTAACATTTCACACATTCATATTGATGTTAATGAATCTAGACATATATCTATCTAGATTCATTAACATCATTATGAATATAGAAAATGCTAGAATGATTTATCGTGAAACGGAGGAAGTACTAAATAGAAGTACCTGGATGACAAAGCGAGCCCAGAGCTTGTCTGAACGGCTCTCCAGCAACCCTTTCAGTATGGTCACCTCAAGGTCCTTCATCACATGCGCAATCTCAAGAAACACACCGTACTCCTCACACACCATCTGCCATACATACAAAATGTTAATTACTAGTATTTGGCTAAGCCAATCGATTGTTTTAGCTAGCTAACACTAACAGCATCACTTGCCTCGATCAGGAGGAGATGACCCGGCTGATCGAGCACTTCAACTTTCAGAGGACAGCTTCCCGGTTGCCTCTTGGTCGATCCCTCGCTGTTTATTATTTTCTCAAGCTGCTCTCGCACCATCATGTTCCAATAGAAAGCAATTAGGCATTAATGTTAGACTAAAATTTGCAAGAGATCCAACTCTGGAGAAGCACAACCGCGCGCACCTTATCGGCTTTCTCTGATACACACTGGAGAAACTGCATGTGTGCTATGGTTTTGTCCAAGAGAGAATCAATGCTGCACTGTTTTAATTTGTAAAAAGAAGATACAGTCAATAATCCATTCGCTTCTTCGTTGCCAAAAGATAAAACAAACAAACAGATAAATAAAACATCTTTAGTGGAAGGTGAGACATCAAATAATGCTAGAAGCTGAACCTTTGATGTATTTGGAACAAGCTGCCTCAACTCCATCATCCTGTCCTGAATCAATTGTCTGTCTCTTGGTCTTGGTCTATGGAGCCCAGTTTTTCTGCATCTCCCCTTTATTTCGACTGTTTCCCTGTGCATGCCTTCAATTGGATCACTAATGAAATCTTCTTCAACCAAGATGGCCTTGTTAGTTTCTGTAAGGGAAGAACCAGTCATTGTACAACTCATGAAGCCTTCGTCGATTGAGATAAGTGAAAAGTCTTGACCACCTGGGAAATTCGGAACTGATGATTCATCTAGTCTCGGTACATGGTCATCTTTCTGAATTTGTGTTGCGCATGAAACTGGAGAATCAGTTGAATGAGAAGATTCACTGTTTGATGCCCAAATAACCTGGTCATTTATAGCATCTAGTAACAGCTCTGCATAATCGTTGTTTTCACATTGTTTGTCGAATCCTGCTTTATTTCCATTTTCTTGAAGGAGCGCAGAGCTTGTAGATTCTTGCTGTCTATATCTGATATGCCACATGCAGTCTTCACGTTCCTCCCTGGAGATTGGCTCAAGAGTTTTGTGCAGCTCTGAATGAAATGAGGGATTTGAAGTCACAGCATAATCATTTACACTGGTATAGTTGTTAATGTGCTCTTGATTTTCACGTTCCATTTCTGTCAGGATAAAGTGATCGATATTACCATATCCTGGATCTTCCGCATGACTTACTGATCTGCAGCTCATTTTGCTATCTGAATTGATCAACTTATCCATATAGCTTATGTTTGCCTTATCTGCCTCAGAGGCTGTATTGCAGCGAGTAAATTGAGATAGCTCTTCATGAACATTGGTCCAAATATCACTGTCATTACCATCCAAGGGTTCAACCGCGCAAGCTGTTAGACTAGTGTCATAAATGCTTACAATGCTATCTTCTGTTGATGCAAACTCCAACACAGGAAAGGCATGTAGGAGACTAAGGTGATCATTGTTCAAGAGCTGAGCTGAACTCTTTATGGAACGAAAAAAATTATGGGGCACAACATCTGGAGAATCCATTGGTAGCATTGCAGCAGGTTGTCTCCCAGTATTTGAGTAACCAAACCCTGTGCCTGAAGGACTGCCAGATATTGAGGCATCATAAAGCTTATAGAACAAATCCTTGATGAGTGCCACTGATGTTGAACTTTCTGGAACCTGATGGTTGAAAATTTGGAAAGTAAAATATACAAATGAGTTATGCAGTAAGATATCTAAAACCTTTGGCTGGAAGATAATGAGAGCCTCAACATTAATCTAGGTTATAATTGCTCCTAACATAACCATTACTTGAAGATTCAACCACAAGAATGCTGTTTTCCTCACTTAAAATCGTAAAAGTAAGTAGGCCAAGTGGCCAAGACATGGTTATCAAAGGTTAGTTAAGCTGAACATACCAAATCTAAAGAGCCCAGTTGAAGAACCCCATGAGGAACCACTGGTACAAACAGAATTGTCTACAGGTAAGAAATACTAATTGTCAGGTTAGTAAAGCAGGAAGCTATTATTCCTGATACCACAGGCAAACACTGATTTAAGAGGATACCAGATAGAGGTTTGTCTTACCTTGATACCGGCTGCAAACTGAAGTTGCCAGTCCTCGTGATACTGAAGTGAAAAATAATGTTGCTGAAACCATGTCCTGTGCTATGCAAGCTCTATATTACATGATTTATGGAACAGTAACAGTAAGCTTAACTCACCTTATACATAAATGTTGAAGAGAACTCATAGGAAGAAATCCAGCAATGTTGTCCCGTAAGCGCTACTTTACCAATAAGCCTGTTAAGTTTGGAACTGTTACAGCTACTACAGTGCTTAGCAGATACTCCCTCCGTTTCAGGTTATAAGATGTTTTGACTTTGGTCAAAGTCAAACTGTTTCGAGTTTAACTAAGTTTATAGAAAAAAAATAGTAATATTTTCGACCCAAGATAAATTTATTATAAAAATATATTTAATTATTAATTTAATAAAACTAATTTGGTAATGTAAATATTACTATATTTATCTATAAACTTGATCAAACTTTAAGCAGTTTGACTTTGACCAAAGTCAAAACATCTTATAACCTGAAACGGAGGGAGTAGAAAGAAAATGAAATTAACCGCCTATGGTAGCATGCTTACTCTTCTCCTAGAGAGTATGTATGGCTGGACATGCTCAGTAATGCTGCCTCAATGGGGCACAGTGGATAGCTTTGGTACTGGTCATTGTTGTACAAAGTAGACATTACTATCTGGTTCTTGCTATCAATGGGGCTATCATAAAGATCTCCTTTGATTTCTGTGATCACTTTATCGACATAAACATCGCCCCAAGTCAATATCCTGAAACCAATGGAGCAATTGAAAGAATGAAACCATGATGTGCTAAAAACAAGATTGAAATAGTTTGTCCTACTAACAATATTTGAACCGTATAGTGTATTTCCCCATGCATCTGGTGATAAAGATTAGGAAAATAAAACAATAGGGCTTACCCATGATGTCTATTGCCTTGGAATGACCATAGAAGAACATACTTCCATATGCCATCAGAACACAGGCCTTGCAACAACTGGGCGTTCATCCTCATGTATTTCATGCATTAACATATATAAACAAAGCTGTAGAACTGAGAAATTGTCAAGGTGCTAGCTGCAGCGGTAAGATGCTCGGCCGGCTTGCTTCCAGCGCAGACAAGCAGCTCGTCGTCTTATCAGTTGGCCAAAGAAACCCAGAAGAACTACTCCCATAACTCGCAATTCACCTGCAGTGCAAGCTCCTAGCTTGCAAGGTCAGAAGCAAGAGGAACAATAAATCTTGAAGCTCCTAGCTTCCACGATTAAAAGCAACAAGCACAACAATTCAGTATCCATCCAGCTTGTGTTCAAGGGGCAACATCTTCCTCAACTCAACAGGACAAAAAGGCTATGCAACTGCTGTTTTAGTTTTGGTCCTGTAGAGCCTTTTTGTTCAGAACAACAAAAAACATGATAAGAAATTATATTAGAAAATTCCTAAATAAAAATAAAGAGCAAACTGTGCATCCTACAGAAACTAAGGTTCCACAAGAGAAGGATTCTGGTCAATTTGTTTGTAGATGATTAAGAAGGTTTAAATTTGATCAGACCTGAAACTGGAGTGTGATCCCTCCGTAGAAGAAGCAAGCAACACGAGAGAAGAGGAGCGGTGCTGCTGCAGCCTGCAGGTTTGATGGACACTTAGGCCTCCTATCAACTCCACTTAATTTTCAAGGCCTGCCCGGTTGTTAATGAATTAGTAATACTAATAGTAAAGCATTGGAATCCAGCTACCGTGCTACAAGTCAAAACATTAACCTACTATTGGTCCAATTTTTTGCAGGATGATGGAACTAGAGGCACCATTTCAAGAACCAGTTGCATAAGCATTATGCTAAGTAGTCTGCATCAACGGCCCCACCAGTAGCTTTGATTATGCAAAAGATATTAAGACAATTAACACAGCATCTCTGTTATTCATTTTGTTTTCTCTCAGTATGACATAAGCTGAAAAGGACAGAATATGGCGTAACAGGAAGCAACTAGCCCGACAGCTTTGAAAAACGTCCAAGTTAAATGTAACCATCTCCTTGTTTGCTTAGTGCTTACACGTACTTCATGCTGATTCAGCCTTATGGTTCAGTTGGTCCACTCATACCAAATCTAATATCTATGAGCAAGGATACAACACAAATGAATACCTCAACTCACAGATAAATATATTATCCTGTGGTGAAACCTTTTGCCTATAATATTTAATTTCAAATAAAATATTAATAAAACTTTAGAATACTTTCTCAAGTGAACTACAAGTATATGTTTTGTTTTTCTTGACTCAATTTTTTTTAGACCATGAGCTTTTCATTGAATTACTCAACCAAGTGCGAATCATACAGCATGTTTGTCTGCTTTACACACGGATGAGTAGCTAAATTAGTTTTATCGTTTTAGCATACACAATAATAAAAGAAACAAAACTCTTTCTTAGCTCTTGTATTTCCTCCAGGATATGCAAGATTGACGCCCGATGCTAACAAGACCAAAGTGAAACTAGAGATATCGGCAGTCCCTCTGCACCATAACATGATCAATCCCCCCAACTCAACAATCAAATTAAACACTGCAACCAGAGAACATGAATAGGATCATACCACTTGGACATTACCGCGATAAAAGCCTCCTTAGATGATTAGATCACCACACTGGAGACACCTTGAGATTGGTCAGCATAATGCGCAGTTGAGCACCATCAACATTTATCTCAACACACCCTGTTGGCAGTAATTGCCAATATAATCAATCTTATGCATGTTGCTTTCTTGACAAATTAACGGCGGGAGAGGACAGTATCATATGCCCGCCTACAGTCTGCACCGGAAAAGCAATCTGACCAATATGCCTCCAATGCATAACAGCATGAGCCGGCACTACAATTACTGACATGCCACTAGAAAACTCACACCTTCAGCTGAACTTTATATTTCCACAAAAGCCTATAAATTGGATCTTCACCATCTTGGGACGTGCCAATGTGGCAAGATGCTTATCACCTCTCTCTTGCCTTTTTCAACTAGCAACCTATAAGCCGGTCGGACTTGATACAGACCATGACATCCATGAGCCCATGCCCCATTATCCTGCTCGAACCAACCTAAGGGAATTTACGTCAGTGCTTATATCAGGACAATCAGGTTATCATCCATTGTAGAACAATTCCAACTCATTTGGCTCTTCTTCATTAAATCAGCAATAAACAAAAAGATGGTCAGTTGTGAAGAAATGAGTGAAAGAGTGCATATTGATCAGTCGTGAATTGTGATAGCTCGCAAACCTGGTATCAGTTCTGTGACCGATTGTTTTGATTAAACTGGTCTCCAATGCCACCTGGCCCAAGTATGCAAGTGATGCTTACCTCTCTTCTCATTTAAACAGGTATCATTTATACTTGGCACCAAACCATAGAGTTACAGTACCTTTTAGCATATTCTAGCTACTACCATAGTTTGACAGGTCAGAGAGCCACTGACCACTGGCTCATTTTCCTGTGAATGAGTAGATAAAACTATACATGAGCGACCTGGAAGCTGATGGTCCCTCCCATCTCCTTGTCAGTTCCAGCTTTAATGCCCAAACCATTTTTGATAATAATAGAATCCCAAAAACATTTGAACAACAGCCATACTGTTCTCTTGCTGAAGATTATGGTATGAATGTGGGAATTGACATTTCCTTTAAATATAACTATTAATTTGGCTGACCGTTGAAGATCTCTTTAATCTTATTCTCAGCAGGTCGGCACAATCTGAATGGGAAGAAGAATCCAAGTGCAGAGCAAATGCAGTTGTTTCGAATTCACACTTCTAGCCCGGTTAATCTAAACATGTAAAAAGCATAAATGTTAACTATTACTCCAGAAGACAATGGCAACAAAAAAAAAAGAAAAAAAAGTCGATACCAACCTGGTTCACGCAGAAAACCAAAAGTATCTTTCCAGGGCAAGAGAAAACACAGGAGTACTTCAAAACATGAATAGTATCTGAAATCTTTGTATATGGTTGATGTTCCAAACTATTAACTACTACCAACGGCCTTGCAGTCCGAGACAAACATTTTTTTGCGTGAAGTATGAAATTAAATGTAGAGAAGACTCTAGCCTAGTGTCCTTAGAATATGAAGTACAAAGAATAGCCACAGACCTTCTGTCGTTTTCCTGCATTTCGGATCAGATGCTCTCTGTTTTCCATATTCTAAGCAATATATGGTAGATTGCACCTGAAGTAACAAAGTTTGACTGCATACAAGATCCTGGAGAACTAGAAACATAAACACTTGTGGGTTGGTTGACACAACAAAGCCATGCTGTCTCTAATGATTATGAATGACTGAGGTTGTTGAGCAACAACATTCGGTGTTTTCTAGTTAATTTGTTATCTCTAACTCCTTCATGCAGAACTTCATAAGTAGGGTAACTAATGTGACCCTTCTTCATCAAGTCCTCAACAAGTATCTTTGGTGCAGCTATCTCCTTCTTATCAGCATTCAAGATGGTATCAACAACCTCAGGAACTACTCCGATTTTCACCATGATGTGAATAATTCCAACAGCTTGAAAAACACGATGGTTCACTGTTAGTGAGTTTATTACACGACCAAATGTTGACATCGAAGGAATAAAACCCTTCTTTATCATTTCTACTAGATGCATGTATGCACGGTCAACATTTGCAGTCTTGCAGGATCCATCAATTAGAACACGATAAGTATATGAATCAGCTCTATGGCCCTTGCTGAGCATCTCATCAAAAATCTTTTCTGCCATATGCATATTCAGTTTCCCAGAAAACGCACCAATCAGGGTATTAAAAGTATCGGCTGTTGCAGAGTACCCTTTCTCCTCCAATTTCTGAAACAATAGGTATGCTCCCTCAAGATCACCATTCCTACAGAACCCATAAATCAGTGTGTTGAAACTAACTGCATCAGGATGCAATCCTTCTTGACTCATCTTCACTATCACCTTCGAAGCTTCTTCCATTTTATTAGACCTGCAGAAATTCTCTATCAGTATGTTGTATGTGATAGGGTTTGGATGACAACCTTTAAGGATCATCTCTTGGAATGTTTCATTGACTTCATTGACCTTCCCAGCTTTGCAGAGGCCATTTAGGACTGAATTGTATGTGATAGTATCTGGAGCGATGCCATATTCCCACATTCGTTCAACAAGCTGAAGAGCACTGTCCAGCTTCAACCTCTTGCAGTACCCATCAATCAATGTGTTGAAGGTAAACACATCTGGAAGGTAGCCTTTCATGATGGCATCGTTCATGACAACTGTGGCGTCCGAAATATTCCCCATTTTGCATAGTCCATTGATGACAATATTGTATGTTTGAATGTCAGGATGGCAACCTTCCTCAGCCATCTCATTCATGACCTGCAGCGCATGCAAGATGAGCCCCTGAAGACAGAGCCCCTTGACAAGAGAATTGTAAACGACAATATCAGGCTTGATTCCCTTTGCCTGGGCCTCATTAAACAGCTCCAATGCCCTCTCAACGTCACCCTCAGCACATAGGCCGTTGATCAATGAGCAATACGTGACCTGGTCTGGCACAAAACCTTTAAAGACAGCATCCTTCAAGAGCTCAGTAGCTTCTTGCACCATACTTATCTTGCAGTAGCCATCGATGATGGTGTTGTAGGTGAAATCATCGGGCAAGCAGCCCTGATTCATCATCCTGCGAAGATAGTGCATGGCTTCCTGGGGCATCGACTTCTTACAGAGTCCACGGATGAGCGTATTGTAAGTGACGACGTCAGGAACAGCGTATGCACGCATGCCATCCACAAGTCGAACAGCCTCGGGCAACCTGCCAGCTTCACAGAGTCCCCGGATCCATATATTGTAGGTGAAGAGGTTAATAGACATGCCCCGCTGGATGACCTTTCCAAGAAGTAGGCCAGCCTCCAAGACATCCCCTCTCTTGCAAAGAGCGTGTAAAACCTTGTTGAAAGCGGCGAGGTTGGGGAAGACATGGGTGTGGAGCATTTGATCGAACAGTTGGCGCGCGTCGTGGGTGTGGCCGTGCGCATAGAGGCCGCAGACGACGGTGCAGTAGGCGACCGCTCCGCGGTGTGGCAAGGCTCGAAGGAGGCGGAGAGCGATGTGTGGGCGGGCGGTGAGGCAGAAAGACCTGAGGCGGATGGTGTGTGTGTGGAGGTCGGGGGAAACGCCGGCGGCAAGCATCCTGACATACACCTTGTGGGCCTGGTCGTGGTAGGCGGCGTCGACGAGGGCGTCCATGATGGCGTTGTAGGCGGGGGCGGCGGGTGGGCAGGCGAAGAGGTCCATGCGCTCGAAGGCATCCACGGCGTCGCGGAGGCGGCCGGCGCGTGCGTAGGCGCGAATGGAGGCGACGTAGAGCGGGTGGATGGTGGCGGGGGAGAGGCGAGAGCGCGCGGAGGCGACGGCGGCGTCGACGGCATCGACGCGGCCGGCGGAGGCCAGAGGGCGGATAAGGGCACAGTAGGCGGGAACCGTGGCGGCGGCGGCGGCGGCGGCGGCATGGCATTGCATGACGTGCATTCGCCAACCGGAAAGGGAACATGAGGGCCACCACCGTCGCGACCTCCTTCCCGCCGCCACTGCAGCCCCCCGCGAGCACAGTCGCCGCCGCCGCCGCCGTCACTGCCTCCTCCTCCTGCGGACGCCACCGCTGGATCCGTCTGCCGGTTTGGGGGCGATAAATTGGAAAGGAGTAGTAGTTCGTAAAGGTTGGATAGGAAAAGGTAGGACCAACATTTCCTCTTGCTTATAGGTAGGGGGTGTTATGATCCACGGATGTAAAGTCTTTGGTATGTCACATCGGATATTATATAAGGTGTCGTATGGGGTGTTCGAGCACTAATAAAAAAAACTAATTACAGGATCCGTCGGTAAACCTCCGTCATTAGCAAATGTTTATTGTAGCACCACATTGTTAAATCATAGAGCAATTAGTCTTAAAAGATTCGTCTCGCAAATTAGTCACAATCTGTGCAATTGGTTATATTTAATCCTATATTTAATACTTTATGCAAGTGTTCAAACGTTCGATGTGACAGGGTGTAAAGTTCTGGGATGGGATCTAAACAGGGTCGTAGTACATTGTGTGAGAGATGCTATATCACAGTAGGGCCCACATTGGACCCACCTTAAGATCCACTCGAGCATTATACATTACTCATGTCCTGAGGCACGTTCAATGCTTGATGGTGTCGACGTTTGAGGTCACGACTACGGTATTTGTATGGTATAGAGATCGTCGATACCAGGGTATATGCGAGATTAAGGTAAAAGAGATGGAGACAAGGATTTTTATACATGTTAGGGGCTCTTATCTAACAGGTAATAGCCCTGCTTCTGTTGGCAGAAGTCAGTGTTGCTATATATTCATTACAATCACACAAGTACAATATTTGGGATAACCTATCTAGCTGCTATCAACTTGGCAGGCAGGATCAGAGCCAACTGGCGGCTCACTCGGGCGGTGGCGGAGGCGGAGGTCGCTCAGGCGGCCGATGGAGAAGGTAGCTCAACCGGCCGGTGGGGGAGATGGGGCTCACTCGGGCGTCGATGGGGGAGGTAGGGCTCGATCGGGCGTGCACCGGCGAGGCAGATCTCTGTCGGGTGCCGGTGTAGGAGGCAGAGGTCGCTCGTGCGGCCAGCAGCGGGGGCAGAGGCGCGTCGCCATCCTTGGCTCCGCCCTACACAACGGAGTCCTCGGCTCCCCTCTATCGCCCAGCTGCCTCCGTCGTTGTCCTCCAATGGAGCTAAGGAGATGGAGGAGAGAGAGAGAGTGAGTCAGTGAGTGAGCGATTGGGAAAGAGATAGAGTAGAGAGAGATAGAGAGGGTGAGAAACTGACAGGTAGGGTCCACCTATTTTTTTATAAATGGATTGCTGACTGGAGGGCCACGTAGGATCAAAACCACTGCAGATTGAGCCTAGGGGGTTGTTTGTCTGGTTTATATAGTTGGGGGTGAAGGATGTCCGGTTTTGTGGTTCAGCCTGGGGGGTTGTTTGTCCGGTTTACATAGTTGTGGGTGAAGGATGTCCGGTTTTGTGGTTCAGCCCGAGAGTTGTTTGTCCGGTTTACATAGTTGGGGGTGAAGGATGTCCGGTTTTGTGGTTCAGGGGGATAATTCGGTCGACCGTGATATTTTGGGAGGGGGGTAATTCGTACTTCTTCCAAGCTATTGCCATATGCAAAGTATTGCAAGGACCAATCTATTAGTATTACTACTACTTGATAAAATGGGTAGTATTGTTATCTACGTGCTAAAATAAACTTAGAAGGTTTACGAAAATGCTACATTATAGTATTCCATCTAGAGAAAACCATATTATGGATTTGGGTCGACCGGCCAAAGATGATTTCTCCACGAGTGCATAACATAAAGAATACTCTAACACCCTGTGACTGGCATGCTCCATGTGGGATGAAAGGAGAATCGGCACAACGCACTCCGTTGCAATTACCATCGCCCCTCAGACGCCATCACCCCTCCTTGCTAGGTGGTCGTCATCTTCACGGACGACGCTGACTAACTTGTCATCTTTGATGACAACAGGAAGTCAGTGAGAGGGAGGCAGCGCAAGTTCATGATGGTAAGAGCAACGGGTGGCGCTATCCCACCCACATGCACGTCAAGGTGGAAACACTCTTCAACCATTCTTGATGATGGGACTCGGTACACATGTGATTGATCCGTCCAATGAGGTCTTAAATGGATGGGATTGATGGTAATGACCACCCCTACTTGCACGAGCAAGCTCTATGATTCGATAGAGTGTGATATTTTGGTGTTATTCTTCTGGCCAATCAGGGTGGACCTCCTCTGATGTCAACTTCCACCAGTAGCAGCAGCAGCCATTTCCTCTGCCGGTGGTCTTGGGGACATTGTCGTCACAACCAATACTACAAAATCGATTTTTCATGGCGTCAATCTATTTTTTTCTCTGGCAGCCATACGCGAAAACCGCCAGCGAAAATGTAACAAGGGGTGAGGGCTAAGGACCGCTAGTGAAAATAGATCTTCGCTGGCAGCCAAGTTAAAAGGGCCGCCGGCGAAGATATATTTTTTTTCTTGCGGCCCACTTAAGCAACAGCTAGCAAAAATAGGATTTTCGCTGGCGGAGACTAACAAAGACCGCAAGGAAAAAAAATCACCCAATTAAATAGAGTTGTGCGCCAGCCTCCTCTCCCCTCTCCCTCCTCCTCCTCTCCCCGTGCAGTGATGGTGATGGAGATAGTGGTGGTGCTTGGGCTGGTGGGGGACCTGTGGAGAGCGAATCTGGTGGCCTCCTGCCTCTCCCACCGCATCTCTCCCACCTTTCCCAGATCCCTCTCCTCTCCCTTCGTCTCCCTCATGGGTGGCGGCGGTGGCAAGGGGCGCGGCTGCATATCTGGTGGAGACTCAATTGGGCACGAGCGGTGACTTGGGGCATGGGCGACAGGGAGGGGACGGATCCAGCGGCGGGCGGCGAAGGAGAGGGCAGGTTGTGGTGGAGGAGGTGGATCCGGTGGCTGGGAAGGCATGGTGGGCGGAATTGTTGGCATTGACTTAGGGGATTGTTCCTTCTTGTCATTGACTTCCTCTTCAGACATGTTGGTACAAAACACGCATCCCACCAGGCGTGCCAAATCTGCGTTGATGAAAAATCCGCACTCAGCCGATGGTGTCAGATCTGTGTTGGTGCGAACTATGTCGACGAACACAATGGCCAGGAAGATCTTCTTAGCTCCAATGCAGGTCTAAATATTGATGAGATGCGGGCGTGCCAGTCAGTTTGATCCTGCAACTAACAAAATAGATAAATATGTCTATCACCAAAGAGCCGATAGACTGACAAGCCGATTAAGCGATGCTAACCGATGCCGATACCAGCCGATTTCGGTAGGGTTTTGAGTAATTGGCTATATGTCCAATGTAGATTCTGACACTTGAGTAAATAATGACATAAAGACAATCGGCTGATGATAATGTAATGAAACAATAATATAATTAAGTAGAAACCAATCGGCTAATAAAGATATGATAGAATAAGCGCTAATCCAAAGGTTAAAGCATACATCGGCTGGAGGTCCGATGTCGTTAAATCCAAACAATTAGATAAATAGTGAAACCTTGCTTGTGGTCGGCTAAATCCAACTTGTATGTAATCCTTATAAGCCGATGCAACGTCCAGATAACTCATCGTCTGAAACCCCGATGAAACCCTTGTTGACAATTAAAAAGCAAGCTAGAGATTATGGTTGTAACCACGACTTAGTAGGTCAAACTTAACTGATGCAACACTAAGTCTGAAAAAAATAATATCTAGATAATCAAGCCTTTGATTGTTTTTTAGGATGGTTGATACCTTAGCTAATCTAGATCGACAAAACAATTTAGCTGATACTGGGAATACCCTAGAAAAGATCTGATCGTACAAGTAAATTGAATAATTGACTTAGATTAACTAAGATATATGATAAATAGGTAGGCAAATATATCAACCAAACCAGAGCGATCCAAGAGATGGAAGCAATGTAGCCTTGAACAACAGCAATGTAGCCGACACAATTGCCTAGGGCCATCGAAACGTAGGACTTACCCCTTCGCCAGATATCGGAAGCCGATGCAGCCCTGCGTTAGGTGCCAAGTTTCGCCAATTGATAAGTAAAAACCTCGAAAAAGAGGGTGACGATGCGCCGAGAGTAGTTGTACTGATCATGAAATAGTTTACAGGGACCTTGGGAGTACATATTTATACCCATGGGTACACGATACAAACTTTCCTAAAGATAAAAGAAAAAACATAGAGTCCTTATCGGACACTAAACACACTTTCCTAAAGATAAAAGGAAACTAACACACTCTTCTTAATTAATAGATAAACTGCCATGCCACATCCTCCTTGAATTTGGTCTCTTTTGGATAAGCTTTATTTAATTGATTAACTTCCTTAACCAAACCCATAAAAAATCCGACTACTGGCAATTGATAATGCCCATCGGCCGATTCTAGGACTCTGAAGCCGATACTTACTCTAGGCTTATGATGACTTCAGAGCTTACCAAATTTTGGCGTTAACACCTCCCCACTCCCAGATCCGGCAAGCAGTGGGTTGGGGCCACATGGTGACCGCGGCTCGACTGGCAGTGACAACGGTAACCGCGGCAGCTACGACGATGTCTGCAGCGAGCTCTGTCCTTCGCCGACGTAGCTCGATGATGGCAACCGATGACTAGGGATTGGGGATTCTTTTTGCTCCAAAAAATGTTTTCTACGGTGGATATCTTAACATTGCCGCCACAGTCGGCCACCAGTGAAAACGGTTTTTGTAGTAGTGAGCGGTCCCTCTACCCTACAAATATTGTAAATGTTGGTTCCACCTAGGGGTGGTAATTGGTTAAGACTTATGGGTTTTTTCACAACCATACTTAACTCCCATATATTCTTAGGTTAAAAATGAATAAAAGTTCAGCCCATTGCCTAACCTTCAAATTCTTCCAGGCTAAAGAGTTAAACCCATTACCACCTCTAGTTCCACCCGGTTATATAGACCTGACATCCTCTACCCCCAACTGAAGCTCCCACAGCGATTTGGAGTCGTGTGTTCGATCGCCGCGCTATCCACGTCGCCCCCGAACACCCAGGTAGCCAGATTTCGCGAGCGAGCGCCGGGCTGTGGGATCTGGTCATTTTTCAAAAAAAACCCCTTGATTTTACCGATAATTTGTTATAGATCCCTAGACGTACATTCCTCAGTCATGTATTCTTACGCACCGGCCCTATGAAATATGAAATATCTTATGCTAAGAAGAGAAAATTCGGAAAACAGGAGTGCGCTCTGAAAAGCGTAAAATGAGGGGTCTTTTTGCGAAACCAAACATCCCTGCAGGCTCCACCTCCCCCAAACCCTAGCCGCCACTCGACCGCTGTTCCCCTCTTGCTCTCTCCCTTGCCCTCACGGCGGCGGCGGCAGGCCATCGCTCGCTTTTCTCCACCATCGACGACCAGTCCCCTTTCTCCTCCATCGCCCCTCTCGTGCAGATCGGAAATGATTTCTCCTCATCCCGATTTGACCTCTGGTTCGACCGATATGAAGCAGGCGGCGGCCGCGCCCGCGAAGAGCACCAGTTCGTGCGAGGATGCGTCGGTGGCCAAGAGAGGTGATGATTTTTTTTCTCTTTTCGGTGCGTGTGTGTTGGTGGGATGCGCTTGGGACTGAGCTATTAGGTCTTGATGCTTTGTTGCAGATCAAGGAGGAGATAGCTGGCGGTCACTGCGGCGGAGGGAATCTGCCTGGAACTTGTTCGTTCTTGATGTCATTCTCAAGAGCACTGCATCTAGGCAGTGGATTTTGCTTGGATTCGCTTGTGCTTTGACGCCGGTCTGATGGTATTTGGTTAAAAAATGCCAGGTCTACTTTCTTCCCTTTCCCTTACCTCAAATGATTCTCTTATGGTTTGTGGCTGGAATGGAGCAATCGATTTGGTAAAAAATGTCAGTTAGTGCAAGCTACAAGACTTGGCCTTGTGCTGCTGGAGCAGAGGTTGGCTGCCTACCACTGCTGTGTTGTGTGCTGCGACATTTAATCACCAAACAAGTACTAATAATCTACTGATTTATCTTATGTTAAATGGCAGGAACTCCTATTATCTATCCTACTGTTTTTTGGGTTGCACAATTGGAACTGTCAGATTTTTTTTGGGTTGCACAATTGGAACTATCAAAGATGGGAGGATGTGTTGGTTGATGTTCTAATGCTATCTGATCATCTTCTTCTCCAATGAGAAAAAAAAATGAAGCTGGCACTGCAACTCCTGCAATATAAATCTGGGCAACCATTCAGCCTTCATATATCATAATGTGTTCCCAGATTTCGAATGATATGTTACACATGAACTGATTAGGATGGCTAGGAGAAATTTGGTTCTTTCTCCAGATGATGCAGTAACGATATAATGACCTGATAAGCATGTACTTATACAACAGCTAAGCAGAAAATTGTATTTCATTGTTCATAACAACTGATTTGGCAAGCATTTTGTGGACCTAACTTATGTCTCATTTTTGCCTTGCTGCATCTAACCTGCTCCATAGAATCATTTAGCCGATGTCCTGACTTGTGCTCTCTGCTTACTTTGATGTCTCAGGAACATTATGCTGACAAAGTGACAATTAGTCTGGACTGTAGTCTTGGCCTGAAACATATTTCCCTGCAGGCTTAGAATGCATATTACAACCCATAACGTATATTTGCAACTGTTGATACTTTGATTTGGTTTACTTTTAGAACATAACCTGGAATTTTTTTCTGTTCCCAAATTTTGGTAAGTTAACTAAACATGTTTTTGGAGTATTTTCTTATTTTGAAATTTTGGCCAACTAGCTCCTACCATTTCTAACTTTCATCTCTTATTAATTAACATTATGATTACGTTGGAAAAACATACCTGTTTAACAGGTAGTTGCCAGGTCAACAATGATGCCTTTGTTTTAAACATTCTAGATTAGAACTTGTCGGAGAATGAACTCCTCCACCAGGGAACCGTGAGGCCTCCCTTTGTGAGTTCGGCCGGGGGCAGCAAGTGAGATTCGAGGGCTTGGTGAACGAAGCTGTGTCATCTTGAGGGAGTTATCCCCCTCCAAGATGATGAGACAAAAGGAGTTTATACAGGTTCGGGCCGCTGAGAAGCGTAATACCCTACTCCTGTGCTTAGCTAATATTGTGAGAAATTACAAGATCTCCTTGTTGGGGTAGAAGGTGGGTAGAAGGTGTTGATCATCAGGGGCTCCCGCCCCCCCTCCTACTAGGCCTGGACCTCCTTTTATATCTCAAGGGGTTACCACATGGGCCTAAAAACATAACTTAGTGGAGAAGGATTACAATCTTTGCATTAAATGCATGTCTTGTCTCTTGACTTGGGAAGCAAGCGCACGTCATCTTGATGATGAGGCCTATCAAATCTTGCCGCCTGACACGGGGGGTGCCCCTGTCAGTCACCATTTAATGGGTGAGGACTTCTGGGCTCCTATTACACCGGGAAACGGGAGCCTTGCTTTGACCAGAGCGGGAGGACCGACTCCGGCTGGGATAAGAGGATAAGAACCTCTCACCATCATTATTTGATGGGACATGTCAGGCTGCACGTCGCCTGACACACAAGCAGCGCACAGGCGCACTACCCCAGTCCCATCGGTCATTCGACCGGTCACAGACCGGTTAAGTGCATTGCACACCGCATTAAATGCGGCGTGGCGCGACTACTCGGGCCGCCATAAATGCGGGTAGGTGGGCACCTGGAGGTGGACACTTAACCCACTGTACATGGTGACCTAGAGAGGGGGTCGGGGGAGCCCGACCCCTAGTCACGGGAGGGGGCGGCCGCCGCCCAACCTCGGGCCCGATCCCCCCTCGGGGGAGGGCCACGTGGCGCCTGGGGCAGCCTTCTCCCTCTAGTCTCGGCCAGGGAGTGGCCGCCGCCCCACCTCGGGCCTGACTCCCTCGAGGGAGGGCCACGTGGCATCGGGGGGCAGCCTCCTCCATCCAGTCTCTGGGAAGGAGTGGCCGCCACCCCACCTCGGGGGGCAGCCTCCTCCATCCAGTCTCTGGGAAGGAGTGGCCGCCACTCCACCTCGGGCCTGACTCTCCTCCGGGGAGGGCCACATGGCATCGGGGGGCAGCCTCCTCCGACTAGTATTTGGGAAGGAGTGGCCGCCACCCCACCTCGGGCCTGACTCCCCTCCGGGGAGGGCCACGTGGCATCGGGGGGCAGCCTCCTCCATCCAGTCTCTGGGAAGGAGTGGCCGCCACCCTACCTCGGGCCTGACTCCCCCCCTCAGGGGAGGGCCACGTGGCATCGGAGGGCAGCCTCCTCCGACTAGTCTTTGGGAAGGAGTGGCCGCCACCCCACCTCGGGTCTGACTCCTCTCCGGGGAGGGCCACGTGGCATCGGGGGGCAGCCTCCTCCGACTAGTTTTTGGGAATGAGTGGCCGCCACCCCACCTCGGGCCTGACTCCCCTCCGGGGAGGGCCACGTGGCATCGGGGGGCAGCCTCCTCCCTCTAAACCTGATACCCCCGGACCCATATCACCGATAGAACTGAAGCTACATCAAGTTACAAACTAGGCCTCTTGCAATATATGGTCAAAAATAAGATCCACTTTCATGACATCAAATTCGTATTTCAACAATTCAATGAGGGAAGTATTTCATAGATGCGACCAATCAGGCATATTTCTATGCTTTTGACTTCAAATTCAACCTGCTACTCAAGATTCATCGGATTGACGTGAGCATCAAAATTAGTGTAATTAGCAAAGCATTGCTGAGAATCAATTCATGTTATATATTTTGCACCAAAATTTGTATCCTGTTGTTGCTTACTATTATAATGAAGCAGTTGTCCTAAGTGACATTAAGATTAAGAATCAGTGTTATTTGTAATAACAACTAGATCATGTTCATGGTGCTTGCTGTTACAATAATATGATGATCAATTTTTATTAACTACAGGTTTGATTTTAAGCCGCCGACATTGTGTGTATGCACAACTTGCTGTTACAGTAATGTGATAAGTAATTTTATTCACTACTGGAGAATTTTGTAATAATTTTTTATACATTTTTATTTTGATACACGATTCGTCTGAATGAATTGATACGTTTAGGTTTAATATCGATAGGGCGCACAACGTGCGCCAAAATGTCTAGTATCATACAAGACACCCTCTAATCTCTATCATATATATGACTCTATAATTGTAAAACAAAACAAGATTCGTCAACCGAATATACCTACAGTATGGCATAATTTTTTTAGTAATTACACGCAAAGACATTCACGAATGTGTTTAATTATTAATTAATCCTACACGCTTACTAAAGAGATGGAGACCTAAACCCGAGCTACACGCTGTTACGAAAAAGCTTAGTGCTACTTTTTATGCTTTACTCTTTCCGGATTGATAATACTTGTCGCTTTGGATAAGAGCATGTTCTAAAAAAAAGTAACTTTAACTATTATTTTCTATTATAATATGTACAAAAGTTTTAACAAATATATTATTTTATTAAAGTATTTTTAAGACTAATCTATACATGTAGTCACCATATTTAAAAGATAAATGTTTTAAAAATAATTTATAATCAAAGATTCTAAAGTTTGACCTCACTCTTGTTTAAAATGACAAGTATTATCAGCCCGGAAGAAGTAAGATCGAACGGTAGAGATAGTAACGGTCAAATACAGTTATTAATCAGTGGGGTCTAGGGACGGAGAGCTAGAATAAAATAGAGATCTTGGGCGCCACTTTCTTAATTTAATCTACTTAATTTCGATCGAGTTTATGCTCGGTTACCGTGAAAACCGCGTGGTAACCACGAGACATACCGTGGTTTAAAAAACTGAAAAGTTTACCGCGTGTGGTAACCACGCGGTTTTGTAAACCCTGGGTGTGGGTGCCTATATTTGTATCCATGGGAGTGCACATGAGTTATAGTTAAAAATTTTCTTGATCAGCTTTCTGGGTACCTCCTCTTATACTTCAGCCCGTCCCTGGTGGGATCAGTTTTTGCTCATATCAGCTCGGGTGTACGTACTCGGTACAGTGTTTATATATATTTGGTAGCTAGCTACTAGGTGCGGTTAGTTAGCTTACCAAAAAGCCAGATGATCGATCTCACCGTCTCACGTACGATGATAGATCGATCCAACGAACGATATGATGGTGGCATACATATGCATCCATATATATAGGACGCGACCCAGCTGCAAGTTAATTATTATGCTTCATCTGTTGCTGTTTGCGCGTGGCAGCTAGTCAGCTAGTACTAATCATACATGTATAACCCTGTTTGATCAATCTCTTTCAGAACAGTTACAGTATTAATCATGCATGCATCAGTCCAAATTAATAAGCATAAGCGCTAGCGCTTCCGTCGCTAGCTTCCTTGCTAAAAGAAAAAGAAGAAGCTACGTACCATAGCTAACTGCAACTTGTATATGAACGACAATGTAAATAATCAAATCACCATTCATTCAAACATTAAGTAATGTGAAAGTTCACTGACGATCAATGTGACCTTTTTATTGCTTTTTATTGCCTTTTTATTGCTTTTTATCGGTTTTTAGTCTCGGTTATTTTAACCGGGATTAAAAATATCATATTTAGTCCGAGATTATGTGTCAGTTGCACAACCGGGCTAGAAGGGGTTGTGAACTAGGAGCAAAAATGTCCCCAGCAGTGACTGTGTTTGGGTTGCGTTTATAAAATAAAAGTATATATATATGTAAATTTGGAGGCACAAATTAAATAATTAACATATTTGCTAACTGCTTAGGGTTTCCCAGCAGTGGCTATGTTTAGGTTGGCATCTCCAGCGGCGATGGAGCTATCGAAGACGGAGAATATAGCGAGGTGGGGCACCTCGTTACCACTTGACTCGTCATAAATAATAATTTATGGGTTTTCGCGTCGCGGCCCGGCTTGCCGCATCTAAATATAGAAGTGTATCGATCTACAGACTCATTTATAAGTCAAATTCATAGTTAACCCGCTAATCAAACCGACGGGTTACGTACTATTTTTGTCTATAAACGGGTTCGCGGGTAAACCCACTTGCACCCTTAGATAGGGGGAGGGTGTATCCGTGTATGGCTCTAACGTCGACGAGACGCTGAGGCCGGGGCGCCGTTTGGGGGGGGGGGGAGGGGGGCAGGGAGGAGCTCAGCGGTGCGTTGGCCTGAAAAGAGTGAGTGATGGAGAGAGGGAGTGGAGGAGATAAGTGTGAGTTATAATAGATACACGAATCTTGAAGCGATGTAACGATTTTGAGTTTGTATAATTTTGGAGCGTTTTCTATCGACAGATTATACATATATTGTTGGGCAATCTCCATTAACTAATTAATGATCAAAATTTCAGTGGGCCACACAAAAAATGTACATGGTACTGATGGCCGGTTTAGAGGGGCGCACGCGCGGTAAGCGAAAGAGCTCCATCAGGCAGCTCAGCATGCAAAGACCTGCAGCATGCAACAAGTTAATTGTTGCGTGAGCAATATATTTATTAATTACTAGTATATAGTAGTTGCATGTTGTCTCTTTAGCTAGCTAGAGATGCAAATGCAATGCAGCTTTCTGATCACCAACTCCGCTCCTTTTAATCGCAACTACCTATATAGATGGAGACACTGCCTGCTGGCGCCTGCAGCGACTACAATATAGTACATATATACTCGCTCCATTCCATCCCTAAATATTTCACACCGTTAACTTTTTTTTTAAACATATCTGACCGTTCATTTTATTTAAAAATATTTAAGTAATTATTAATTCTTTTTCTATCATTTGCTTCATTGTTAAATATACTACTACTACTCAAGTTTTTGAATAATACTTATAAAAGTTTTAAAATAAGGTAAACGGTCAAATATTTTTAAAAAAGTCAACGATATTAAATATTTAGGGACGGATGGAGTATTACTTTGTCAACAAACAAATTGGCTAGCTAGAATTGAAGCAGGTACTCCTAATTAATAATCTTGCTTGAACTAAATCTGCAATGCAGGGTCTCGTCGTTGTTTAAAAGTGTTAATGGCCTGGTGTCTAGCTAGCTTGCCGACTACATGGCCATGCATGCATGCAGCTGCAGAACTTATTAGAATATATACATTTAGTAGCTTAATTGCTAGCTAGTGGTCACTGGTCAGTATAGTACTCAGTGGAGTACGTATTACTAGGAGAGTACGTGCATATGCAAGTAGTATCAACTATGGCTAGCATGCACATGCATTCATGCATGGGCTTAAATTAGTTTGATATATATAAAGCTCTAGTTAGGAGATCGCATTCTCCAGCTGGTGGTTATTCGCTCTGCTCTAGCTAGCTAGCTAGCTTAGCTCAACACTATATAGTACTGCATGCGTTTGATATATATACTCATCAAGATCGATCATCGTGGTCGATACAGATTCCAATCCAGTAGTGATCATCATATATATCGATCGATCAGTGTGTGTTACGACTGCACAAGTGCATAATATATAGATGCATGGCTCCCTCCCTCGGCTCCGGATCAACAAGAATATTACTAATTGTATCATTATTATTATGCCTGCGGCAGCAGGCTGTGGTTGATGCTGCCATCGTGGAGCACACATTCCATGTATGTAGTATGTGCATTTTAATTAGTTATATATATATTGATAGATGAGATGATCAATGGATGCATGCATATGATGCAGGTGGGCAACCTGACGGTGGAGCGGCTGGGGCAGCGGCAGGTGATAACGGCGGTGAACGGGCAGTTCCCGGGGCCCAAGGTGGAGGCGCGCAACGGCGACACCCTCCTCGTCCGCGTCGTCAACAACTCGCCATACAACATCACCATCCACTGGCATGGCGTCCTGCAGCGCCTCTCCGCATGGGCCGACGGCCCAGCCATGGTGACCCAGTGCCCCATCCTCCCCGGCTCCGGCGCCGGCTCCTCCTACACCTACCGCTTCAACGTCACCGGGCAGGAGGGCACGCTGTGGTGGCACGCCCACGTCTCCTTCCTCCGCGCCACCGTCTACGGCGCCCTCCTCATCCGCCCCCGCCCCGGCGTCCCTTACCCCTTCCCCGCCCCTCATGCCGAGCACACCCTCCTCCTCGGCGAGTGGTGGAACGCCTCCGCCACCCTCGTCGACGTCGAGAGGCAGGCCTTCCTCACCGGCGGACAGCCCGCCAACTCCGTCGCGCTCACCATAAACGGCATGCCCGGCCTCTCCCACGCGCACAAGGAGATGCACCACCTGCGCGTCGCTCGCGGCAACACCTACCTGCTCCGCCTCGTCAACGCCGCGCTCAACTACCAGCTCTTCTTCAAGGTGGCCGCCCACAACTTCACCGTCGTCGCCGTGGACGCCTGCTACACCGACCCCTACCACACGGACGTCATCGTCATCGCGCCAGGCCAGACGGTGGACGCCCTCATGCACGCGGGGGCCGCGCCGGGGCGCCGCTACTACGTGGCCGCCCAGGTGTACCAGAGCATCGCCAACGCCACATACAGCGCCACCGCCAGGGCGCTCCTCCGCTACGACGACGACGCCAAGGACGCCGCCAAGACAATAATAATGTCGCCGCGTATGCCGGTGCTCAACGACAGCGCTACAGCGCAGCGCTTCTACGGCAGCCTGACGGGTCTGCTGCGGGACGGCAAGCCGACGGTGCCGCAGCGGGTGGACACGCGGATGGTGGTCACCTACGGCCTCGCCATCGCGCCGTGCTTGCCGGCGCAGACGCTGTGCAACCGGACGCGGGGCTCGCTGGCGGCCAGCATGAACAACGTCTCGTTCCAGCTGCCGGCGACCATGTCGCTGCTGGAGGCGTCGCGATCGCGTTCGTCGGGCGTGTACACGCGCGACTTCCCTGACCGACCGCCGGTGATGTTCGACTTCACGAACGCGGCGGCGGTGAACAGAAACATGTCGTTGATGGTGACGTCCAAGGGGACGAGGGTGAAGGCGCTGCGGTACAACGAGACGGTGGAGGTGGTGCTGCAGAACACGGCGGTGCTGGGGACGGAGAACCACCCGCTGCATCTCCATGGGTTCAACTTCTACGTGCTGGCGCAGGGCACAGGCAACTACTACTACCTGATCCGCAAGAAGAAGATCCGCAAGAACCTGGTCAACCCTCAGCAGCGCAACACCATCGCCGTCCCCCCCGGCGGCTGGGCGGTCATCCGGTTCACGGCGGACAACCCCGGCGTGTGGCTCATGCACTGCCACCTGGAGGCACACCTTCCCTTCGGCTTGGCCATGGCCTTCGACGTCCAAGACGGCCCCACCCCCGACGCCATGCTCCCCCCGCCGCCAAACGATTACCCCCCATGCTAAATTAATTAATTATACTCCACTAGTATGCAATTACATTAATTATTACTAATGCATGCAAACGGAGAACTCCTATATGCTAGCTAGTACAAAACACATCGAATTAATTTCATTTCATTTTTGCCATGCAGCAATATATTCAAGGATCGATCATGCATGATCCAGTTTTTTTTTTTTAAAAAAAGTTTAATGACGCAGCATGCAGTTGAGTTGAAAATGAAGGTGTTTTAGTATTTGTTGAACGACGCAGCCGTCTTCGCCGCCATCGGGCGTTGGCGCTCTCCTCCCGTGTGCCCCTGCCTGCGTCCTCCACCAGAGGATGGATGTTCTTTTTCTTTTTCGACAATGTAAACCAACCCACCCTACTCAGGTATAATCATCTTTAGCGCCCAGTCTCCCAGAGAGAGAGAGAGAGAGATTGTTGGGCTGGGGGTCTATAGGCAAGCCACGTTAATTATACAGGCCCATGAGTTACTCCTAAATTGACTGTCCAGTGGGTTGTGGGTTAGGCCCTCGAGTCTTTGAGAAAACAGAGAGAGTGGAAAGGCGTGCAAAGCAGAAAGCAGCAGCAGGAAAAGCAGATGAGGGAGGCAGAGCACCAAACCAAGCGCTATCCACTCTCTCTCTCACATCACATTTCACCACACTCCACTCCATAGACACAGATCGAGCAACGCGTGCGTCGGAGAAGAATGCAGTCGGAGATCTGAGAAGAAGAAGGTTAGCCATGGCCATGGCGCTGCTCTTCCTCCTCCTCCTGCTGCCGCCGCCCACCGCGCCCTTCTCCCTGGACTTCTTCCCGGAATCCCCATCTCCCCCGCGCCTCGCCCTCTCCGGCGCAGCCTCCCTCCGCCCCACCGCCGTCTCCATGGCGTCCCCGCGCGCCCGCCTCCAGCTCACTCACCCCGTCGCCCTCGGCCCCGCATTCTCCACCTACTTCTCCTTCTCCTTGTCAGGCCCAGGCTCCCTCTCCTTCTTCCTCACGCCCCACCCCCACCCCGACCGCCACCCTTTCCTCCTCGCCATCGTCTTCGACGCCGCCGCCCGCGTCCGCATCGACCTCGCCGGCCATACTACGGGTACGGCCGCCTCCCACCTCGCCCCCTCCTCCGCCCCCGCCCGCCTACATTCCTGGATACACTACAATGCCACCTCCGCCACGCTCCAGCTCCGCCTCTCCGCCACCTCCCGACGCCCCGCCCTCCCGCTGCTCTCCCTCCACCCGCTTCCTCCCTCCGCCCTCCTCCTCCTCCGGACCAAGCCCATGCTCGCCGGCTTCACCTCCTCCGCCACCAACTGCACCCTCTTCGCATGGGCCTTCCGCGCCAACAACACCATGCAGCACTCTCAGCCGCTCGACCCCTCCCACCTGCTCACCACGCCGCCACCTCACCGCCCACAACCTCACCCCCACCATTATTACCCCTGGCTCTCGCTGCTCTTCGCCGCCGCTTGTGGTGCCATGCTCACATTCTTCCTACTCTTCGTCTGGTACTCCCTGCTGGCCACGCGCCGCCCTGTCGCACCAGTCACCACCTCCGATTCCGACGTCGTCTATGAGAAGATTGTGCTTGTCGGAGCCAAGGACGACGACGCCCCCGCAGCCACTACTCCGTCTCCAGATGTAGCTGGTAACAACAACTAGTCTCTAGTCTTCTTTAGCTGTGCGCCTGTGCCTCTGTTAATTATTCATCACAGCACAGGGAGTATTTCCTCTTTTAATTATGCCCTCTCCCAGTCCCAGTTCGAGTGTGTCATGTGTGAGTGCTGTCTGTAAGTAGTAGTACTAGTTAAGCGTGGTTTGGTGGAAAATCTGCAGATTTTGCGGGCAAATCTAACACCGCAAACTCTGCAGTTTCTCCTCAGATTATTAGAGGTTCAATTCAATCCTGTTTCATCCACTATCTTGTACTCCTAACTCCCAATCTGTCATCCACTACCTACTGCTGCTATTCTTTTCTTCTGATGCTCAGTGATGTGCATGCGCTTACTCCTTTCCTTCTCATCTCTGATTATGTATTTGATTTTAAAACATACAGCATCATCATCTCTCTCTCTCTCTCTCTAGCTGAATGCTTGCGTTTATTTCTCGACTATTTCACTACAAATTTGAGGATATAATGTAAATGATTGGCAAAACTTCCCTGCTGTTCCCAATTCAACAAGGAAAAGACTTCACCCAATTCCTGATTATTTGCAGAAGGGTTCTCACCTCCTGTTGCATACTCGATCCGTGCCTTTTCTAGCTATTCATCTTCAATTCACATATCTAATACTTCTGCTTTGCAAAACAGCTTGCAACAGGTGTTTAATTTAAACCTCAACTGGTTGCCCTTTCATAAAGCTCCAACTGCATAGAGGCTCCTATTGCAGGTTCATGACATCTCAAAGCTGCATAACAAATCGCAACAGCTACTCATCTTGCTTATGTACGTTTGTCTCAGCTTGCTTTCAGTTGGCCAAAGCCACTTTACATTGATGCAATAGTGGCTCTAGAGTCCTGAGTCCATTATGGCCTCTACCGGAATACTATATATATATATTCCCTCATTGTTGATTTCAGTTAAGACCCGCTAGTTCTACTTGGAATTCAGGGTTGCTTTTCATTAGGGTAGCTATATTTTGGAACTAGGTGATTCCCCGCGCTTTGCTGCCGAAATTACTAAGTAACTTTTAAATTTCTTTTAATAATCGAGCTAAAAGTAAAAATTGTATTAGTTATTAACAACAAATAAAACTGGCTTGTCAAACTATGTTCAGAGAGAAATACATTTAGTAGACTTTGTATGAGATTGTAGATGAAATATGATATCCTGCACTTTGATTGTATGGATGAATATATGCAAAGCATTAAAAAATGATGGATATATATATGTTAAAAATATTGTGAAAAATAATGTGAAGGAAGATGATTGGATGTTGATTGGTAGAATTCAATGAATTATAGTTGCATGCTTGCATACGTTTTGTTTGTAATTATTGCTAGTGGGATGATGAAGTGATATATATATTTGCATGTTGAGCTTTAGGACTAGTAGGTTATAACTTTATAGTAAGATAGGATATGATGCTGCTTCATTGTAGCTTAGCTATTTACTTTCTGGATAAGTTTTGTCACAACCATATAGCTTGAAAAGCACATATATATTTCTATCATGAAATATGACTGCCTATAATTAGCATACATCTGGCTGTGTGCATCAGCATGCAAAGGCAGGGGATGTAATATCATCTTCCCCTTATCTTTAAAAAAAATACATGGCATGCATGATGATGTGAATGTCCTAAGTAACACAATTCTGACATCAGGTGTAAAATTTTATGCTCATGATCAACCATTGGCATGCCATGTATTCTTTGGTGTCATTAGTCAGATTTCTCTCTAGAGAGTTTGTGTCGAAGAAAGTTGTCTTGTTTCCTCCTAGGGGCTGACTGGCATTTTCTCTCTGATTTTGTATTGTAAGCCTTTTTTCCTAGAGCAAGAGCAATGTTTCCATTTAGCTGAATGCATATATGTCAACAAGAAGTCCGGCATATGTTTAGCTAAGGTGCACCACAATATTAGCTTCTCTCCTAATGAGAAGCAATTTTAAAAAAAAAAACAGTCAGCTCCTTAGTTTGAACAAAAATTGGTAGGATATGGTCTGAGAACCTGTTTCGGCGACTACTTCGATCGAACCCAGTCAACCGTCAACTGAATTCGGTCTCTGCAACTATATTCCTGCATGCCTCCGCTGATAGGGCATTGAAGAATTTGAAGCATTCTTGTCATTCTAATCTGAAAACATCTCTGCAAGCATATGCCTGGCTGCCTTTGTGCGTTAGTGTGCTTAGGATCTTGTACCGTTTTGATTGTTCTAATCTGAAGCTTCCGATTTCATCGCAAACAACAATGGTTGAAGCACCTTGCCCTTCAGTATTTATGTACAGTATATCAGAAGAACCATCTATCGTGCTCTGCTGGATTGGTAAAATCTGTCAATTATGGCAAAAATAGGAATCCAAATTTTCTTTTGCAGGGGAGAAATAGGAATCCAGCAGTGTGTTTTACCTGGACATATGCAATGCATAATCATCTCTCTGCACAATCATTCAAGATCCGTGTGGTGTTAGAAGTTTCAACCTCCGCCTGCATGATGTTCCCAGATATTATTACTGTTTACTAGGGAGAAATGGGTTTTTGTGGTAAAAACTTGCTTAGAAAAAACCATATGTTGTTGCCGTTGTTGGGGGGCACGTGAACTTGAGTGAATCAAGCACAGCATGGTAAGCCTTTGGCATCCTTCGCAAGTTGCTCATCCAGAAGGAAACGACCCTTTTCCGTTATGGAACGAAATATTTTTTTGTTGTTTTTTTTATGATGTTAAATTATTATTTTTTTAATGATGCTCTGGTCTGGTGCCAATCATTTCCTCTTTCTGCTCATGGATGATTCTGTGACTGTGAAAGGAGAAACTGGAGTTATGTTAACAGACACAGACAGACAGCTGAGTTTTATTAGTGTTATGGAGATGGAAACCTCTGCTGAGTTTTGGCTGGGCCTGTATCCCCAACAAAGTTAATGTTAGCGTGCACGTTATATATATGTGGAGTATTTCTTCTTCTTGGTAGCAACCGCCTCGATCGGCAACTCCAATCAACAAGCAAAGCCCAAACCCAAGCCTCAACGGAATTCAGCATATACTCCACTCCACTATTGTTTAGTCCTAGTAGGTGCTCTGCTGCTGCTGCTGCTTTCTTTCCCTCCTGTCCTCTCCTTTTCCCTCCCAAAAAGAAGTAAAATTCCTCTAGAATCGATTCGAAACGGATTGATTGCCCCTGCTTTATTATCGAAAATCAAACAAATATTGGATACGAGAGGTGGAGCATATATAATTACTACCTCTATTTTTTAATAGATGACGCCGTTGATTTTTTCTCATATGTTTGACCATTCGTCTTATTAAAAAAATTTACGTAATTATAATTTATTTTGTTATGAGTTGGTTTATCACTTAGTACTTTAAGTGTGATTTATATCTTATATATTTGCATAAATTTTTTGAATAAGACGAATGTTCAAACATGTGAAAAAAAGTCAATGGTGTCATTTATTAAAAAACGGAGGGAGTAATTGTTTTACTTATGAAAAGGCCTCTCCGTCTCAGTCCACTGACGATGCATGTGAGTGAGTGAGGGTCCCTCTCTTTCTTTTCCTTTCCTTTCCTTGCTCCTCTCTCAATCGTTATGAATTATGATACGGGGGCGGGCGCAGTTGATTGATTCCTTTTTTTTTCTAACCAAAAATACAATACAAGAAATGGGGATCTTTAACGAAAAGGGGAAAAAAGTTTATTCCTTTGTTTAGTTGTTTGTTTTACATTCCACTCTACTAGTGATTAATACTAGGAGGGAGGGTATGATTATGAAACGGAAAAGGAGAAAAAAACTAGTAAATTTGTTAATATTCCATGTTCCTCTGCAATAATATGTGCGATGTGGAGTGCAAACGAATGGAACGGATTCCATTTGTTGCTACTTTTGGGGGGGCTTTTAATAATTTGGCTATGCTTTTGACCTAATAAGAAGACTCCTCTTCTTCTTCCTCTCGTTGCCGACGTTGCCATTGCCAGGAGCAGAAGGAGGCCCCCCAGGAGAACGGGGTGACGGCGCTGCTGCTGCCCCAGGCCAGTCTACCTGCAAGATGAACATCGACATGGCCAATTCCGACGACAAGGCTCTCATCTCCGAGGATACAGCGCACCAGATTAGCGCTGGTAATTTTTCATCTATATATATATATATATATATATATATATATATATATATATATATATATATATATATATATATATATATATATATATATATATATATATATGTTCTCTTGTTTGTTTTATTATCAGTACCTGACTCAACAAAGATGAACACCACAACTCATGCTTATGTATGAGCCTATCATACATATGCCAGCGTATAAAGTCGCACTTTTGTGCGACTATAACCTCTCTCTTTGTTAAATGTGTTAACATTAGCTTAAGTGTTTGAAGAAAATAACTTGCACGAGTTGTAGCTGTAACACATGTTTATATTAATTTGTAACTAAGAATATTGTCATAACAACAAACAAATTTACCATACAATGTCATTTGTAGTAATATTGTAAATAGGCATGTAATTTGAAATATCTAGGTCGAGTTCTTATCTCTACTTTCTCAACTCATCTCCCTCGTTTTCCGCGCGCACGCTTTTCAAATTGCTAAACGGTGTGTTTTTTGCAAAAATTTTCTATATAAAAGTTCCTTTTAAAAAAATCATATTAATCTATTTTTCAAATTTATTTTAGCTAATACTTAATTAATCATACGCTAAACGCTATTTCGTTTTGCGTGCTAGGAGTGAGGGTTCCCGAACACACCTCTAGCCATTTTTCAGCTTAATAAAATGGTGAGTGTAGTCTTTTCCTCCTCTATTCTACCCTCCTTATCTATGTAACCATAATCGCCCACTTTGTTGTCGCTTGAGCCGTCGCGTTAGCGTCATCTCCGTCGCTGCATGACCCCCATCCTCCTCTTATGTATCCTAGGTCCAGCTGCTACATAAGATGTTACATTCCTACTACATCTGTTGTTTCATGACCATGTTTATTTTTCGCTTGTGATACCTATATTTTATCAAACTTGAATTGCAATTAGTCGTTAGAACTAATATTTACCAATGTCCCAATAGCCCATTTATGAACCAATAGGCCAATTATAAATTTATATTTGTAGCATGCGCCCGTTTAATTATTAGAAATAAAATTGTCAAATGGATATACATTACATGTTCACAATTTTGAGTAGTTTTAGGGTCTAGAATATTAATTTAAATAATACATGATATCGATTATAATTATAAACAAACATACGGAGTTACACATAAATAAAGCTTTGTAGTATTAATTAGATAATTTTATAATATAGTATTAAAATAAGGGGTTGTCTGCTAATGGCCTAAACTTGGCCCAAAGCCTTAGTAGGAAAGGTGATGTAGTGGCGCTTTCCTCTTCTTTTTCTCTATACATCTAGAAGTCTCCTCTCTCATCCAACGGTTGTGCTTTGCCATGCTTTTTTTCTTTATGTGGACCCAACGCTATTGTTTTGCAACTTATGTGGCTCATTTTATTACATTTTGGGATTCCCTTTTCACTTGTAGAGATATGTCTCATCATAACTTAGGGTATGTTTTGATTGATGCCAAAATGAACCTTACAAAATTTTTGGCAATGGCAAAATTATGGCAAATTGGCAACATTGCTAAAATTTTTTAGGATTGGCTTAATAATGTTACCAAAATTTCATACACATTGCCAATATTTGGTAACAAACTAAATGTAGCCACATAATTGTCAATTTTACCAAATAATGGTATGGTTTAAAATATCATCAATCTAAACAGGTCCCTAGTGCCAAAATAGACGCTATCCACGGCTAGATTGAAAACAAAAGGCTTCTTCTGTCAGCTCATTCATGTTCATCATCCTGCAGAGACCCCGTTCATGTTCATAGATGAAGTAATTTCCTTTCTTAATTTCATATATTTTCAGTGATGCCTGTTCTTATTTCTGTTTATCTGATTCCTCTACCCAAAATTAGAGTCATGTCACTTCGGCCTGAACCAAAGGAGAGAAAGAGAAAGAGAGAGCAAACGACCTTATGGTCTTTCAAGTCAATCTGCATATCAGTACCATGGCTTCACATTTCAATCTTCAAAGTAGCATGTATGATTACTGATTAACTCCTGAAAGTCTTCTTTCCTTTTCACTTTCAGATCCTTGGTATCAAGTTGGATTCGTTCTGACAACTGGGGTGAATAGTGCATATGTTCTGGGATACTCTGGATCAGTCATGGTCCCTTTAGGTTGGATTGGTGGGACATGTGGCTTGATCCTAGCTGCTGCAATATCTCTGTATGCCAATGCTCTCCTTGCTCGCCTTCACGAAATCGGAGGCAAACGACATATTAGATACAGAGATCTTGCTGGGCACATATATGGTAAATATTTCTATGAGGTCTACTTGATATTTGATAATGCGGTGTTTCATTCTCTTTTCCTTTTTTTTTCTCTTTTGTCCTGTGACGGTCAATTTTAGAAATCAACCATCATTTCCTTAATTTATTCCCCCTTGCATCATATCTCTGAAATTTCATACTTGTTTTATTGGATTTTTAATGCATTTCTGTGGTTTTGTTTATTAATAGAAAAGGTGTGATTGAATTTCCTTTATTCTGGTGACTACAGGTAGAAAAATGTATTCGCTTACATGGGCTCTGCAATATGTTAATCTATTCATGATCAACACTGGCTTTATAATATTAGCTGGCCAAGCCTTGAAGGTACAGACTACAGAGTAACGATACCCAGCTTTTGTTATGGTGAAAACCAATCTGGTGAAAATTCCATGTTGCTCTATCCATATTTATTCCCTGCAATATCTGGCCCTTCTATATCTCAGTATCTAAGTTTAGAAATTTTGCCAGAATGCACGTGTTGAATTTATTTCCAGAAAGAATAAATTAGTTGATGGCATATGAAGTCTTTTCCCCTCCTGAACTCACTTTGTGAACTTCCTCTGTGCAGGCAACATATGTATTGTTCAGGGATGATGGAGTTCTAAAGCTACCCTACTGTATAGCATTATCTGGGTTTGTCTGTGCTCTTTTTGCCTTCGGAATTCCTTATCTCTCTGCTCTCAGGATTTGGTTGGGATTCTCAACATTTTTCAGTCTCATCTATATTACTATAGCATTTGTGCTATCGCTTAGAGATGGTATTACACATTGTTTCTTTGTTCAACTGTCCTGCCAATTTTGAGACCATGATTCATTGCATTTCCATTTGTCGTCATATAAAATTTCATTATTATTTTTTTCTTTTGAAAGGGATAACCACACCTGCAAAGGATTATACTATTCCTGGATCCCATTCAGCTAGAATCTTCACTACGATAGGTGCTGTGGCAAATCTCGTGTTCGCTTACAACACTGGAATGCTGCCAGAAATTCAAGTGAGTCAGTGTAGCACATATGGCCAGTGACTAGTTTATTTGCTATGAAATTGCTTATCTTATGTTTACTACAATATTGCAGGCAACCATAAGGCCTCCTGTGGTGAAGAACATGGAGAAGGCTCTATGGTTTCAGTTCACTGTCGGTTCGTTACCTCTTTATGCCGTGACCTTTATGGGCTATTGGGCTTATGGATCCTCAACATCAAGTTATCTACTGAATAGCGTCAAGGGGCCAGTTTGGGTAAAAGCTATGGCAAATCTATCAGCGTTTCTTCAGACCGTCATAGCATTACATGTAGGTCCACTCCACCTCAGTAATTTTCCAATTGTGTGTGTTTTTTCAATTCACAGTTGTGTGTGCGTGTGCGTGTGCATGTGTTTTTTGAATTTACTTTTATAGTCAAATGTCAGATATTCGCGAGCCCAATGTACGAGTTCTTGGACACGAAATACGGCAGCGGACACGGTGGCCCTTTTGCGATCCACAATGTGATGTTCAGAGTGGGTGTAAGAGGAGGCTACCTGACTGTCAACACCTTGGTAGCTGCGATGCTCCCATTCCTTGGCGACTTCATGAGCCTGACCGGAGCTCTCAGCACCTTCCCCTTGACATTCGTTCTTGCAAATCACATGTACCTGATGGTGAAGAGGCACAAGTTGTCCACCTTGCAGATATCCTGGCACTGGCTCAATGTTGCTGGCTTCAGCTTATTGTCCATCGCAGCTGCAGTTGCTGCGCTCAGGCTAATCATGGTCGATTCCAGGACTTACCATTTGTTTGCTGATCTGTGACTGTGATTGAGACCCAAATTTTCAGTGCAAACATGCACCTTGAATGATCAGCTGTAATTTCTTCTTTTTCTTAGGGGTGAACTACCGCGAGATGTTTGCCTCAAAACGTACTGTAGTGATGTTTTTTAGAACAGTAGTGATATATTGTATCATTGTACAACTCTGCAGGTTGAATGAATTTTGTGGCCATCGTGCATACCTCTTACTACTTTAGAAGTGGAGTCCTTTTCCTTCCGTTCCGTTCTCACTTCGTGTGCGTAACCATGTAGGATCCATTACTTTCTCCTTAATCTATCCACCCAACTAATCTACAATTATATGGGTCTGGCCTGCCTGCATCAACCCAACCAATCCCTAATTATATGGACATGTCTCGTTGCGACGCACAGATATATTACTAGTTTTTTTAGAAAGTTCACCCCGGGGGGGGGGGGAGTTTCCCACATGAATTTCATTTCAAAAGAAAGTAGTATATGGCATCATTAATTTACAGAACGGCGAATTGAAGAGGAAAGAGTTCCCTTCCAAGAGGAACAACTATTCTATCTTAACTTTTGAAGCGTTCGACCCAGAGGGTTGCATTGGTGGGGGGGGGGGGCAATCTTGCTAGGTTTGCCATATCCAGAAGGAGTGAGCAAAAGAGCATCCAATGCATATACGAAAAGTCATCTCTCTTCACCCTCACAAAGGTCACAACCCCCTGTTTGCACAATGTTCTTGAATAGGTTTTGTTTTGTATGGATTCTCTCTTTTGCTAGCAACTAGGCAAAGAATTTGATTTTTGGTGGAGCTCGGCTTTTCCAAACAAATTTCTAATTTTGGTCGTTCATTCGATCTTCATTGAAGGACTCGTAGATTTGTTGGGACATCAAAATACTCCCTTCCACCCCTTTTACAACACACCTAATATCATGTAGATTGTTCACCGAGGTATTTGCAAGGATCATAGCTAGGCCCTGGATCTGATCATTCGCTATATTGTACAACCTGGGAACAAAACAATCCCTCAAATCAGCAAAGAGTACCTGAGCCACCGTGGCATGCATGTTTGTCCCCAGCATGCGTGTACAGGTCTGAAATTTTTCTTTTGAGAGGATACTCTTCAACCCATACATCATACCGGAATGAAGTTCGTTGCCCATTTCCAACAATAACCGAGGTTAAGTTCTACATCTTTAAGATCAAGTTTAGCATGCATGTCATCCCAATGTGTCCCCATGAGTTTGTCATAGAATAGAGACGAGTTTTCAAACTCTTGCCAAAATCCACCTTTGCCCAAGAGGAGTCAGTAGAATGTAAGTGGTGCAGTCGCTTGAGGAGGAGAGCTTCATTTTGTTTATGCAGACTTCTGATTCCTAATCCTTCTTTTGCCTTAGGCACACAAACATCAGTCCATGCTACTAAGCATCCAGCTCCGCTGCATGAATGCTCCCTATGCCAAAGGAACACCCTTCTTATTTTTGTCGAATGCTTCAACCGACCCTTTTGGTAGTTGGACCGAAGCCATTGTGTAGACTGGGAGTTGTTTAAAACTGTGTTCACTAGAATCATTCTTTCTGCATATAAAAGTAGCTTTGTTTGCCAAGCCGCCAGGTGCTTGTCCGCTTTGTCAATCATAGGTTGTAGATTAGCCTATCTGAGTTTGGAGCTTGACAGAGGGAGTCCCAAATAAGAGAGGGAAGCTATCTACTTGACGTCTTAGCACAACAGCTAGTTCAGCTCTGTCCTCTTGAGTTGTATGCATTGCCACCGGAGTACTCTTATTGTAATTGATTTTTAACCCTATTGCTTTGGCAGAACTATCAAGACAGTACTTAAGTTCTTGCACATCGGTCTTGTTTGCTTTGCATATAAGAATGGTATCATCTGCATATTGCAAAGTCGCATAGGGTTTTTCTGGATAGATGGGGTACCTGATATGCGCTGAGCTTTGTATAAGTTTTTGAAGAACATCAGCTACTAGCTAGAATGAAGAGATACATGGACATAGGGTCCCCTTGCCTAACTCCTTGTTGTAGATTTATCCAATGCCCAGGCACTCCATTCACCAGAATGAATGATTTAGAGGTTTTCAACAAGGTGTCTATCCATCTGCACCATTTAGCCAGGAAGTCTCTGATAGTCATAATTTTCAGAAAACTATCCCAAGCCATCGAATCAAAGGCCTTTGCAAAGTCTAGTTTAAACACTGTTGTTGCTTGCTTCCTTTTGTGGCAACACTGGATTAATTCGGTTGCATATATGAAGTCTTCATATATGCTTCTTCCCTTAAGAAAACTAGTTTGGTCTTGATCAATCAAGGAAGAAAGTTATCTTTGAAGACGATTAGCTAGCACCTTAATTTGCAATAATCTTCATTGCACAATTTTGCAATGAGATGGTGCGATAACCGTACGTATGGCGTGTTTGTTTTTGTATGTTTTGGCAAGAGTATAATATGTGCTTGGTTAATCCTTCCCAAATCTGCTTCTTCATTGTGGAAGCTGTTCATCATCCGCATAACATCCGATCCTATTCTATCTCACGCCGCTTGATAAAAACTTGGCCCAAATCCATCTGGGCCCGGCGCACTGTTTCTATCCATTTGTCGGACGGCGCACAATGTAGCTGTGATGGGTGATAGGGGTTTGGGGTGATCCCAGCCTGATAGCGGTCCCTCTAGGGGTTTTTTTTTTGAGTACGCAAGGAGCACATCTTTGTATTAAGGATGGAAAAAAAGTTTAATTAAAGGAAAAAACAAGAAATGAAGGGGACGGGGTACAGGAATACAAAAGACCAAAAAGATCTATTCTCCTATCCAATTTTGCGACCTCTCGACAGTTGGCTGTGGCATGGAACTCCGGGATGGCTGCTCGCGCAAGTCCCTCTAGGGGTTGGGTTGCAGAGAAAGATGTCCTTGATCTCAACATCATCAGCAGGAATGGTAGGCGCATTGGCACCAAAGATAAAAGCTAATTGATTTTCCTTTTCTAGAGGGGTCTGCCTCAAAGTTGTGGTGAACTGTCGGAGGTAGGACCACATGAAGAAAACCTAGGTCTTCAAACAGTAAGCCTAACCCCCAAAGGTTACCTCAGTATCGATCCTAGAAGCTTGGCTTCTCCTTCTGTTGAGTTGCCTGGTTGTTGGTTCTACCGCCATCTGCTGCTGGCAGCTGTACCTCTCCCTGAGCAGGACCGCCTTGTTCCCCTTGCTGCAATTGTAGAGTCTCCATCCAATTCCAGCACGAGTGACTTGAGCGTGGGAAAGGTGTTGCAGGTGTAGTGAGTGATTGACGTCATCGAGCTGTCTGTCGGAACCTTAGCTTGCGGACCCAACGAGCCTGGAAGATGGGGTGGTGGGGGGCGGAGGGCGCAATGGTGGAGGCAGCGAAGGAGGAGGAGGAAGGCAAGGATGGGAAGGTGGAGAGTGCAAGAGAGATGGCAGGGGTGGAAGCCACCAAGGATCTATCTACATGAATCCATCCTAACGGTGTCCGGAGCGGTAGCGACGAGCACAAACAATGGGGTCGCGGCAGCTGCGGACGAAAATAATGCTCTTGAGCGGTGTTCGGTTGGTGGTGTGACTAATGCCGCTCGCTCGGTAGGAGGAGTGGAGTAATTTGCTCTGAGGCAAAGAGACAGTGATCGAATTCATTAAAGGGGAAACCAGTGTGCTTAACTCTTGACAAACAATTGGTTCCTGTTGACAAATTTGAATTTTTCGCTCTTGCTCTGATGATTGGAGGAAGCAGGCAAGGTCAAGGACACAAACTCCAACCTTTCAGCAAATCTTTGTTGAACCCAGATCAGCGCATTTGAGGCTGAGATTGTGCACCGAGAATTCTTGCGACCGAAAATCGAACAACTGACAAGAACCATGAGCGAGGCAACGCTAGAACTGACTACTAAAGAGGAGAAAATACCCAAACCCAAAGAACGAACAGAAAACAACTCTGATGGAGAGGAGAACCAGAAGTTCAAAAGATTTTTGATTGTAAGAGAGTTTGCACAAGTAGAGGAAGGAGGCACTATCACATCAGATTCTATTAATTAGTTGGCTGTTAATTAGTCTATGAGGAGGGGCCTAAACATGCAACGGTTGATTGAGTGATGAACGCTTCAGATGTTATCAACGGCAAAGTTTGCCGTTTGCCTCAAAGACAGACGATGCGAACCTCCATTTGGGGGTAGGAGAATCACAGGCCAAATGCTAGAGTTGACCCGAGGGACACACAGACGAGTGGAAAAGCAGGAGTCTCTTTTTTTTTAAAAAAAAATCACCCAATTTAGGCACATATCCAATCCGAGGTGGGTTCCAGATTCTGTCGAACGCAGGTGGGGTGGGGAGGATGGAGCTCTGAACTCGAGATAACTCCTTTGCCAATCCCCGTCGGTGAGCGCCATGGCGGCGCCGACCCCAACGTCGCCTCAGGCTCAAAATTTGTTCCGAGTGATTTTGACATATTACTAGTTGCTGTAAGAAACGTTATGCCTATGACAGAAAATAGCAGTATGTATGTTGTAGCATTTGGGATTCGAGGTTGTAATAAAACAGTAACTAATACTGGTTCTGAGAAATTGATTCAGATTGTAATAATCTCCCGGGTCCCGGCCCTCAAGTCTGAGCGGCTGCTTCAGTGGTGGTGATTGTCTTGCACCTGTACCAGTTGGCGATCCAGAGGTAGACGAGGAAGTTGACAGCACTGAGCGCGGCGAGCAGCCAGAAGAAGTAGTCGAGGTGGCCGCGGTTGAGGTTGTCGGGGATCCATCCGAGGCCGCCGCCCCTGGTGGATGCGGCGGTGACGATGACGACGAGCAGCGTGCTGAGGTAGTTGCCGAGCGCGGAGGAGGTGAGCGAGAGCGCGGTGCACGTGCTGCGCATGTCGTCGGGCGCCTGGTCGTAGAAGAAGTCGATCTGGCCGATGAAGGCGAACACCTCAGCGGCGCCGATGATGAAGTACTGCACCTGCCAGAAGATGGAGATGGGCAGGTAGGAGGTGGAGTCGAGCATGCCGTGGGCGGCGGCGACGCGGAGGCGCACCACCTCCAGCACCCCGGCGGCCACCATGGAGAAGACGGAGATGAGGAGGCCGATGCCCATGCGCTGGAGCTGCGTGAAGCCGCGCGGGTGGCCGGTGAAGCGGCGGGCGGCGGGGACGATGAGGCGGTCGTAGACGGGGACCCAGGCGAGGACGGCGAGGGTGTCGAAGATGGAGAGCGACGCCGAGGGGATCTTGAAGGTAGCGCCCATGCGAGGGTCCAGCGTGTTCCCCTGCAGCACGAACATGGTGCTCATCTGCCCGTACACCGCCGACATCACGATCCCGCTCGCCCACACCGGCAGCAGCCGCACCACCGCCTTGAGCTCCTCCACCTGCGTCACCGGGCACAGCCGCCACCTGCTGCCGGTGTCGTCGTCCTTGTCCGTCGTCGGTGTCACCACCGCAGCCCGGTCCAGCCACCTGAACTGCTCCGTGTGAGCCAGCCGCCGCGTCCCGCAGGCCAGCTTGTCGCCCTCGTAGAGTAGCGCGGCGGCGTCGGCGGGCAGCGCCACCCTTGACTTCCTGGCGGCGGCCACGACCACCTGCAGCATCCTGGTGAGCGGGCTCCCCCCGGGCTTCTGGTGCCTGTAGAGGCTGCTCCCCATGAGGAAGCTGGCGACGGCCACGGCCATGGCCACGGCCGGGATGCCGAAGCCCCACCCCCAGCCCACGTTCATCTGCACCCAGACGAGCACCGACGACGCCACCAGGGCGCCGACGTTGATGGACATGTAGAACCAGTTGAAGAAGGAGGCCTTGCTCCGGTGCTCGCGTGGGTCGGCGTCGTCGAACTGGTCGGCGCCGAAGGAGGAGACGCAGGGCTTGATCCCGCCGGTGCCCAGGGCGATGAGGTAGAGCGCGACGAAGAAGGCGGCGCTCTGGCCTGGGGAGGGCCCGCACGAGGAGGCGGATATTGTGGCGCAGTTAGGCGGCTTCATGCCTGGCACGGAGGCGCTCATGGTGAGGAGCGCGAGGCCGACGATGTAGAGCGCCATGAACGCGGCGATGGTGCGGTAGCGACCGAGGTAGGCGTCGGCGAGGAAGGCGCCGACGAGGGGCATGACGTAGCATGTGCCGGACCAGTTGTTGACGCTGGCGGCGGCGCCGGCGTTGCCCTGGCGGAGGCGATCGACCATGTAGTTGACGAGGTTGGCGCTCATGCCGTAGTAGGCCAGGCGCTCGCAGCACTCGTTCCCCAGGATGAACGGGCACGCCCTCCACGTCCCGCTCTTGCTCCTCACCGCCGGTTTCCCCGCGTGGTCCGTCGTGCCGTCAGTCGTCGTCGCCTCCATCGGAGCTGCTACTACTCCAGCTGCATATGTAACCGAAGCACGCGGTGGCGGCGATATATATAGCATTAATACCTACCAATCAAATGAATCAATCGACGCGCACCCAACCGGAATCCATACCAAGTACACACGTACCACCGAATCCATCACGGTTTCGTTGATCCCTCTTTTTTTTTGTTATTTATGTCTCTTATTATTTAACAAGTACTACGGTTTAATCCCACAGATTCTTCACTTCTTTTTTTTTTGCATTTTAGAGTCATTCAAAAACATTTAGATTGGAGTTGTGTTGGAAAGACCTATATTGATGAACCACATGCTGTCAATTAGCTTGCACTTGCACAATATTTTTGCATTGAAAAGCCATTCGGAAACATTTCAATTGAATTGGAGTTGTACTGAAAAAAAGGGAAATCTTACTGATATTTGTGAACTAAAAGCTGTCAGTCAATTAGCTTGCCCTTACATTTGCATGGTTTACAATGCCACGTGTGGTTACATCAGGCATTTGATCATTCATATTTGGTTCAAAACCCCAATCTACCACAGTAACTTCAAGCAAAAACGCTGAGCTACGCACGTGCATAACCATTCCACATTTCAATCTTTGAAACGCACGAGCAAATTAACTGGGTAGTTTGCTTTTAGTTTTATGAATGAATACACTACAAACAGCTAATTACATTGACCAACCTAATGAGGTTTTTGACTGAGCAGCTAAATCATCACAGCAAATAGGCAGTACGCAGAGCGTCACAAAAGTAAACCCAACGCTAAGCTATTACCATATAGATACAACTGCCTTTCAAAATATTCTGGACAACCAACGAGTACCTTGTCGACAACCTACCACCTACATGCTCTGAAAATGCTGCTGATCGCCGATATCATCATATTCCGCAAAAGTTGCGTGAGCCCCATCTCCAACAGATGCATCATCCTCTGTGACGGCAAACCCAGGTCCAATCACATCGACGCTACAAGATGAGCTTAGCCTGTCGCCTGGATGGACACCAAGATGTTTCCTCACCTACAAAAAGAACGAGGCCAGGTAAGCTACATCAAAAGCCAGTTAAATTAAGGCGAACAACAGTTTTCGTTTGCTTACATTCATTTCAGGCACGTCAGTAAGGACTGCAGGGAGAATGTTCACCAGCTGGGGATTACTTGCAGATGGTGTTGAGGCTATAAGCCTCATTAGTGTTTCCCTAGCGCTTCTCTCAACCAAAGATTCTGTTTCTGGAATCAGGGGCTTCAAGCTAGGGAGCAGGGTAACAGTCGCAGACATAGAAGGCCCGCAACTCACCAGGTAAGCCTGGCCAGAGGAACACACATCAATGACCGGGACATGCACAATGGGGTCAGACATCAATGGTGTGAATGTTGGAACTTGTGAACCATGCAAGGATACAAGTGGTGAAGTAGGAAGCGGCAGGTGAAGTAAAGGATCACGCAGTATCGATGGAAGATTAAGTGACGGGAGATCAGTTGTATCCATCTTTGCAGAAACTGTTGAAGTCGGCGGCTGATCATTTGATAGCAGAGAACTCAAAGGCGGCAAGGGCAGTGGTTCTACAGATGTAACTGGCATATGCAGAGGGGTTACACTGTACTGCAGAGAAGATGGGCATGGTGGGCACCAGCAATAGTAAGGCTTAAATGGTTGCTCTGTAGAATCCTTAGGAAGTGGATATTGAGTCGCAAGAGGAAACAGAGATGGCAACAAGGGAAATGAAAGAGGCAAGTCTAGAGGAGGTGAATTAGCACTGTTTTCAGAACAGTCCCCACCACACTTCTCACTGGCAGAATCAGAGCTAACAATCTTCGGTGTCAAAAGATTTGCGTCATCAGGACCAGTTGATGAGCTCAGCCAGTCCCCACGTCGCTTCAGCTTGTCTCTTCCAGCAATCTTTGCACACGACATCCTTGGCACTCCATCTTTAAAAGCACCACATCTGGGACTCAGACTAGTTTGGTAGACAGAACTTGCTTTTGCTGCATTAGCTGCAGAGGTGCAGAAGCGTGAAGACTTGGAAACAACTGATGAGGGCTGTAAATATTGATCTTGTGGGCTTGAAGCGCCCAGGAAGTCATTAAGTGATCCCAGCGATTTAACATCTCCAATACTTGATGCAACAAGATAAGCGTGTAGATGAGTGGCAAAAGCATCCAGTCGTGAATCTGAGATGCCTGTGAGATCAGAGAGTGTTGGCCTTCCCTGCAGTAGATTTTTCATCTGCACACAAAATGTAGATAGAAGAATCAACATTCTCAGTAATATTGGCACATTTTCATAGAAAATTGTGATGTCGATTTTTAGTCTAACACGAATTGCTCAAGCTTTTATAGTCACCCATTTATGTAAAAAGCTGATAGACTGTATGATACAAAACACGAACCTTTGCAAGAAGGTCCATCCCGTGTTTCTTTGACTTCTCAGCACACCAATAGTAAAAAACTTTAGATTCTGAAATCCTGATGAGGAAAGATCGTCCTGTATTATCAGCTGAAATTTCTTCAACACAAACTTCTGAAACTTCATGGTCATTGTTCAGGAGAGCTAGTTGCTCCGAATGACCATCATCACCAGCAAAGATAATGCACATGCTCGATGAAGGAAGAAGACCAAGGCTCAGCTTTCCTCTGCACATAGAAATTGATGCACATGAGACCCTTGAATCCTTATTTTAAATGAAAATAAGATAATTGACAAATAAATGTCTATGGAAAGTATTGCAATGGCATCATTGTTTTGCACTCGATTGGCCCGCTTTAGTTCTTTTGGTCTATAAATTCATACACAATATAAAGTAGCATATAAGATAAATGTACACTTTTAGTTGGACACTTGGACTGAGTGGGTCAATGGCGATACCATGAGTGGATAAACACAAATCCCCTTTTGCACCATCAATAAGAAAATAAAGGGGGAAAATGAAATCAATTAAACGAAGAGCAGAAGAGAAACTTCAGAAGAAACATAATGGGAGATAAGAATTAACAAAGGGGAAAGAAGGGAAGTGGTAAACAATTTCAAAATCTAGCCTCAGCAATAGATGAGACCAGAAACACTAGACAAGTGTAGAAATGTAACATGCACTGACGCACAACATGGCAAAACATAAATTTCGAAACATCTGTGGGACTAAATGATGAGTAAAGACATTCATAAATCAACTTAAATTGTCGTGTTTGACACCTTTTTCCAAAAAAGAAAAAGAATAAAAAAACTCTGTTTTTCTTTTTTTGATGGGAAAACTCTTTTTTTCATAGAAAGAAATAGGAGTAAATAAAAAAAAAGTAAATGGCCAATTCTTTGACTTTCTTATTACCTTGATCAACATGAGCATGTAAAAACCAAACATAAACTAAAAATATTTCCCTCACAGGTAAAACCTTGTAGAGCAATGATATTGATAGCAGGAATACTTTTTTACAGCATAAGGGCATAATAACAACAAGAACACACCAAGTGCCATTTTAAGTGGAAGACAAAAGATGTAGCACATAGTGTTTAATGGATAACACGTCAAGAGGGGAAAATAAAAGGCACAGTTTGCAAACACAACGATTCATCGACGGTGCAACTTGTAAAACACTGTCACTGTGAACTAACGAACCAAATATTTACATTTACAGCGTGAGCCGAGTGAAGCAAATACTAAAAGTACTCTGTAAAGTAACAACACCAGAGATGCTAGCAATAATTAGCTGCAACCACAAGCATACTTTATAACTGCACATCATATAAATTAATGAAAAGTCCACTTCCCCCTAAAGTATTCTGCTGGAGCATTTAACCCCGCTGAACTACTTAAACTGGCCCACTTCACCTCCTCATGAAATTTATCCTTTTGTTTTTCTTTCTGCAAGTCATGTTTTAAATTGAAATTTGTGCGATGACAGATAAGAAACCTAATGTTCTCGAAAAATTTTTAGAACTTCCAACCATTTGGATGGGTTGGAAGCACCTACGAATGATTCAACCATCAAAATGTAAAAGTATGTACAATATTGTAACAAAGATTGCACTGTCATGTGTCATCTCACAAAAAAATCAACCTATAACACAATTTGTACACAGAGAATTAAAAAATAAGTAATTATATTAGGGGATGAAGTGAGCCAGTTTCAGTAGTTTCAGGGGATAAAGTAAGCTGAGCCAAAAAAACAGTTTTGGGGGAGGTTAAATCCACTGAAATGGTAGGGGGAGTAAAGTGAATTTTGTTCCTAGAAGTAATACCAGAAGTAAAAACAACAATAAAAAAAGACAGCACACTCTTCACAGTTAGATATAACATCTAAAAGCATCAATAATCAGGAATCCTATTAATCAAATCTCATCCAAGACTAGAATTGTACTGTTAATCATTATCAATGCAGGCAACATAATATCGTAAGGCCATGAAAGAAACTACCTTCTCTTTCCTCATATATCAGAGATTATGACACACGCCCAAATTACCTACAAATGAAAAGACATATTTATTTGGTAGGATGAACAGTGCCATCGCTCATAAGATGAAACATGTAATCCTGTAATCAACAATTTCTAGTATAATACTTCTTAATTAGGTGAGAATTCTTGAAAATATCTGCTCATGAGAAATTATTATATGATATGAAGTGAACAAAAGAAATGACATGAATGATCATGTCAAAATCAGAGTATCACTGTATCGGACAAAATGCTTAAAATAGCAGAGAGAAACAGAAGAACGAAGGAATTCCGTAGCATAATTCTGTGACACAGGATAGTGACTGCATGAACACAGGTCTAACTGGATTAGTGTACTGGCATGAAAGAGGCAAAGAAGAAAAATAGGAGGACCAGAAGGCATTATTATGCTGACCGGAGAAGTACAAGGGTTTTCAGATTGTTTTGGATATGGCAATATTCAAAAATCTATTGAAGGAAGCACTTGCAATACTTGCCCATGCAAGCAATGGACGATTCATCGCTTATTACTAAGTCTTCTGACTGGACGATTGTAACATGGAACATATTCCTAACAAAAGAAAGGACCACCAGAATAGAATGGCCACTACTACCACGCTATTATTTTATATAAAAAAGAACAAACAACTGTGCAGTTAGACATATTATTTTCATTTTCCTTCGCTAGGTGCAAGCTACATAAAGACATATGGATAAATAGGATTCAAGATACCAAAATTTTGGAGACAACAGTAAGCGATCCCCATGCAAGTTCTTACAACATACTAGCTTGCACTTGCATATGAAGTAGACATAGTTCAGGAAAAAAAACGTAAGAAAAGTTTAGTGGGCCATTGGAGACAAATTAATAGTAGGGCACACAATTTCCAAACACAAGTATGTTACCATGGACATGCTCAACAGGCGCCAAACATGCTATATAATCCCTCAGCAGAAGAGTTTGTGCTGCCTACTTGAGAAGTAGTAGGGTAAACATGCAAGAATTAACATGATCAAACCAATGAATTGACAGTTCTCATGACATGAATTGACAGTTCTCATGACATGAATTTGTGGTTTCTTTTTTTCTTGTGTGTATGGGGAGAAAAAGACATACAGATTTTTTCTTTGTGTGTGTGGGGAGAAAAAGACATACAGAAGGGCGAAGGCAAGGCTAGTCCAGTACAAGTGAAGTTGAAAGGAGGAAGTTCTAGTTGCAAGGAAACATTGGATCAATCCAAGAGTAGAATGTAAATGCTAATAGGAACCGATAAGAGTAAACAAGCAGTTTAAAGACTTATGCATGCAAACAAGCAGGAGGCAAATCAGTGATGCCCTTGTGTATAACAATCATCACGAGAGTCGTTACCAGTAAATAAGGTTGAGAGAATAAATAAAAGGTTCAAGTGCAAGTATTCCTCATTGTTTGTTGTGTTGAAGAGAGGAAAAGTGTAACAGTACAGGAGAATCCAAGCAACGCAAGGGGGAAGGAAGGAAAGGGAAAGAAGCACGGTACCTGATGGGCGTTGGGCAGAGGAGAGGACCATGGCGGTCGACCTTGCCGACGCGAAGAGCGACGAGGGGAACGCAGAGACACCTGTAGAGCAAGCCGACCTCGGACGCCTCGAAGTGCTGTTAGCATGGATGGATGGAAGATGAGATCGGGTAGGTTTGGGGTTTGTTGTTGCAGAGAAGAAAGGGAAAGGTGTAGGTACCTGCGAGAGGTGGGAGATGAAGCGGTCCTCGGCGGCGCCGCATGAGAGGTTGAGAGTGAGGAGGGGCCTGAGGCGTTCGTCGGCGCGGCAGGCGCCGAGCAGCTGGTGGCGCAGAGGCACCGGCTGCTGCTGCTGCTGCGTCGTAGAGGCCTCACCGCCGCCTTGCTCACCCGATCGGGACACCTCCGCCTCCTCGTCGCGGGCTTCGGATTCCCTGGTCGGCGGCGCGCCCATCGCAGTCTACTGGAGTACGTGCTAGCTAGGGTTTGGGATCGGGGTCGGGGATGGATTGGATTGAGAGAGATTCTGCTCTCTGGAGAAATTGGATTTGGAGAAGAAGAAGAAAGAGAGGAGAGGAGGGGAACCACAACCAGATCGACTCCTCCCTCCCACCACAGGTCCACACCACAAGATACAAGATATTATTTGGGATCCCCCTTCTTTCTTTCTTTACACTGCCACGTGGGCCCCGCTCCACCATCTGCGTTTCATCGGGTGGCCACTGCTATTTTCTCCACCATGTTTTTCGCCATATTCATTTCCTTTTTCTACAACTAAAATTAAAAACCATTCATACTTCAACCTTTTTTTTCATAAATTTTGGACTTCAATTTTGATTTGAGTGGGTTAAAATATATTAGGCCATGCCAAGTTCACCGATTATAGCGAGCCATTTGAGGTTTTAACATTGATATATTTGCTGTGGATTTAACTTGGGGTGACTTTTTTCATTCACATTAAACTGCTTCCTTCGTAAAAAAAATCAAATACTTGTTACTATCTTAGACTAGATTTGTAAGCATAAGTTGATTTTTTTAATGGACTAGAAAAGATACCCTTGCGTTACCACGAGTAAAACCAATTTGATTTGTGCATATGTGTCGTGGATTAATCACTGCCTATTGTTTCGTTTATTCATGAGCTTATACTAATCACTTATTTCTAAATAAAGACTATTTGTGTGCAAATATTTGTTCTTAACGACTCGAAAGCAAAATCTATAAAATAAAGTACGATAAAAAACCAAAAATTCAAATTCAAAATTAAGTTCTAAAATTTAAAATTTGGCTTATAGTAGTAAGCATAAGCCAAACAATGAGGCCTTCAAATATGAACTAGATTTGTCGTCCAACTTTGACGGAGCGTGAGGCTCCTCACCGGGAGACTGCGCAGGCCCCCCTTTGCCGGTTCGGCCGGGGACTCAGGGTGAGATTCTAAGCTCTCTGTATGTGGAAGGTTCGCTAGACCGGAAACACACAAGACACGGGCGATGTATACAGGTTCGGGCCGCTGAGAAGCGTAATACCCTACTCCTGTGTTTTGGGTGATCTGCGTATGAAGGAGCTACAAGGTATGAGCCAGCCTCTCCCATGTTCTGGGTTCCCAATCTGGAAAAGTCCAGTCCCCATCTCAGTGGGCAAGGTCCTCCTTTTATATCTTAAGGGGATACCACATGCACCATTTCTCTCTTTTTTTGTGGGGACTTACCCCACCTTTTCATAAATGGACGGAGATTTGTATAGTTGCCGTCCGAGTCACCTTCTGATGAGACGGGCCACAACTACCTCCACTTTCGCCGGGAGCAGGTGCGACGTGGAATCGTGGCTGTCTGCTGACGACATGACCGGTGTCAGACCAGTCACGTCGGTCATTCTTGTCCACCACGTGTCTGCTTAGCAATCTACATGTTCGCCCTTCTTCACACAACATCTTGCCTGCAATGGTTAGGATGAAGCCTGGCATATATCTGACCAGGACTAACGTGCCATCTCTGGGAGGTAACACGCTAGCTCCAGCTGGGGACGAGCGTCTAGAAGCCCTCGTCCTGACGGGATGGGGCGAGGCGTGTGTCAGATCGCCTGTCGCCACCTAACCCGCGATCTGACCGGTCTGTGACTGGTCACTGACCGGATAAACTAGTGCACTGCACTGTGTTACATGCGGCGTGACACGCTCAGCCAAACCGCAATAAATGTGGTTAGGTGAGCCCCACTGTGCTCACCTAACCCATACACGCAGAGCAAAGACCCACGAGGGGTCGGGGCGCCTCGGCCCTCGGGGCCGAGGCGGGTGCGGCCCGACCCCCTCGGGGGGACTAAGAGGAGGGCGAACACATCACCCTCGGGCCCGACGTCCCTCGGAGGTGCCAGGCCACGTGTGCGATTGTGTCTGCCTGAAACCTCTAGTCATGATACTCCTGATCCCATGTCACCGACAGTAGCCCCCGGCGTTATGCCAGGGCGATCGCCCTCTTTAAGGGAAACGGTCGGGCGTGACGCCACTCCTAAGGCCTAGTGACAGGTGGGACCGGTCTCCACAATTGGGCAGAAACCCAACGGTCACAAACCACGCACATCGGCAATGGTAACTCGGCTGTCAACAATGAGCGGTCTCTTCAAGACTGCCACATTACTTGAGTAGCACACGAATCTGGACATGGCGATTCGTTTCGTCTGGAGATATGGTAACGTTGCTTCGGTCGGCGAGCGTAATTAACGCGCGCACGATATGATCTATCTCGACTGCCACAACCGCATATCCACCTCATGCGCCGCAAGCGGGCGAATGGGATTAGTGGAAGTGTGGGCGCGAGAAACGAGGGGGCGAAATAGTGGGCGCGAGAAGCGAGGAGCCGGGCACAGCGTTGGCAAGAGTATAAAGGCACTGAGGAAGGGATCTGTTTCCTTCCTTTCGCCATTATTCCCCTTGTCTTCGCCGCTTGCGCCCTAACTCCTTCTTTCCTGTGCCCTACCTTCGCCACACGCGCTCACTCTTAATCTTCTCTTTCTCCGGCGCCATGGCACGGGGCTCCGCTCTGCTCGATGGTAGCGTGCTGCCGCCTTCCCGCATCGTGAGCGAGAGGCAGGCTGGGCTGTCGCGCCGCTTCATGCCGGAATCTGCCACCGGCCGGGAGATAGTCACGCTGGGCGAGGGACGCCCGGCGCCAGACTACCCGGGGCGGTCCGTCTTCTTTCTCCCCTTTGCAATGGCAGGGCTGGTTCCGCCATTTTCTTCTTTCTTCATGGATGTTCTGGAGTTCTACGATCTCCAGATGGCGCACCTCACCCCCAACGCGGTGATGACATTGGCCATCTTCGCGCATCTGTGCGAGATGTTCATTGTGGTGCGCCCATCTCTTCAGCTGTTCCGGTGGTTCTTCACCGTGCAGTCGGTGTCGCCGCCTTCGGTAGTCGGTGGCTGCTACTTCCAGCCACGGGGGCCGGTGCTGAACCGCTACATCCCCTGCGCCCTCCGCAAGAAGTGGGACGACTGGAAGAGCGACTGGTTCTACACTCCCCTCGCCGACGAAGCGCGCCTCCGACTTCCGAGCCAGCCCCCGGCGCAGGCCTCCAGCTGGCGGGCGCCGGTAGATCTGGGGGATGGCTATGACGCCGTCCTCGACCACCTGGCGGGCCTGCGATCCCAGGGGCTCACAGGGGCCATGGTGTACGGCGACTACCTCCGTCGTCGGATTGCGCCGCTCCAGCGACGCGCTCGGGGCGCCTGGAGTACACCGGGTCCGAAGACTTCACGAGGACCCACCAGGGAGTGAGATGGGACTGGGCTCCTGAGGACTTCAAGATATTGGTCCAACGGGTGCTGAATCTCAACTCCGTAGAGGCGGCCCTCATTCCCCAAGGAATCCTCCCCCTCTGCAGCGATCCAGACCGCGCCTCCATCCTGACCATTATGATGGCGGTCGGGGCCTCAGAGGAGCGAGCTCCAAAGGGCCACGACGGCGCAGGCGGGAGCCGCAGGGGGGAACAATCTACCCCGAGAGGGGGTCGTGCTTCTGGGTCCCGCGACAGGGGCCCGGGGAGCAGCCGCCCTGCCGACGCCCGGGGGAAGAGGAAGCAGGGAGGAACACCTCCCCCATCTCCTCCCCGAGGGGGCGGGGCGGCGCGTGCCAGCAGCAGGCGCCCGGAAGGGGCCGCGCCAACATCGCAGCCCGAGGGGGAGCGCAAGAAGAAGCGGCCCCGCAAGATGGGGGAGACAGAACCATCTCGGGGAAACCTCATTTCCCCTCCAAAGTGGTCGTTTAACCAACCCCCTCGCAGGTTCGTCTCTCACCCATCGTGGCTGTATTCTCTTAACGCGAGTTTTCACTCACCCATCTTGTTCGTCTTCTGGTTTTTTCTTTTGTTTCAGCGAGATCCCGTCGCGTCCCTCCCGCCATTCCAAGTCCGGCCAGTCTGAGGCCGAGGATCCGGCGGCCGCAGAGGCCCTCAGGCGGGAATCTGACCGGCGAGAGGTCGCGGATCGCCTACGGGAAGCCGAGGAGGCCGCCCAGGAGGCCGCCCGGGCTGGCCAGGCCGAGGAAACCGCTCGGGAGGAGGCCGCCCGGGCCCGCCAGGCCAGGGAAGCCGCTCGGGAGGAAGTCGGATTTCGCCAGGACGAGGCGATGGCGACTTCCGAGGCAACTCGCGACGAGGCCGCGGGCGCGTCGCTTGAGCCCACTCCCTCGGGCGACGCTCAGGCGACAACTTCTGGGGCAGCTGGCGACGAGGCTGCGGGCGCGTCGCTTGGGCCCACTCCCTCGGGCGACGCTCAGGACCAACCGGGTCCGGGGGACATCCCCGAGTCCGGCACTTCCATCGGCGGCCCGAGCCGCGTGGCATCCTCTCCAAGGCGGCTCTTCCCCACGCCTTCTATCGCCCCACTGAACGCAGAGCCCCTTCTGCAGGCCTTGGCCGCCGCAAACACCACGGTGTTGGATGGGTTAAGTGCCCAGGTGGAGGTCCTGCAGGCAGAGCGGGCGGAGCTCGACGCCGCGTGGGCGCGTGTCGAAGAGGGGCGACGCTCGGTGGAGGCCATGGTGGAGGTGGGCCGTAAGGCTCACCGCCGGCACGTCTCGGAGCTTGAAACCCGTAAGAAGGTGCTGGCGGAGATCGCCAAGGAAGTGGAGGAGGAGCGGGGGGCTGCCCTCATTGCCACCACCGTGATGAACGAGGCGCAGGACACCCTCCGCCTTCAATACGGGAGCTGGGAGGCGGAGCTAAGGAAGAAGCTCGACGCCGCCCAGGGGGTGCTTGACGCTGCCGCTGCCCGAGAACAGCGGGCGGCGGAGACCGAAGCGACGTCCCGGCAGCGTGAAGAGGCCCTTGAGGCGCGCGCCATGGCGCTGGAAGAGCGCGCCTGCGTCGTGGAGAGGGATCTGGCGGACCGCGAGGCCGCCGTCACCATCCGGGAAGCAACGCTGGCGGCGCACGAGGCTGCTTGCGCCGAAGAAGAGTTCACGCTCCGCCTCCGCGAGGACGCGCTCAC